CGGCCGTTCTGGCCCCTAACATACTCGGTATTGAAAGCATACCATACCAATGCAGACTGTCTCGTTCTGCCACAAAAACAGACGTACTGTAAGTCGCATCTATGAGATGCATACCATCAGCTCCTACCTCCTACAAAGAGTCATTTGACCTTCTCAGAGTTATACAAACGACTAAGAGAGTGGTCCACTTTTGCTATTTTCTTCTTCTTTTCGTGTGGATGTGCAACTTGTACTACGACCATGGTCCGCTTGTTCGATGACGCAAGCCCACGCTATCGGTATCGATCGTAACAGTCAGATTCCTCACCAATGGTTGATGGTATTTAGCCTATTCCATTGGCTGTCCAACTGTAAACCTGCCCCTTTCGAAAGTGATCCGCCACAAAAACCAATTCCCTGGGCAGATATGCGCCACCAATTTTTGCCTCCAATCCTCTCCGTGAGTGGACGCAAAGAAGAATCCCAGCCAGCAAAGACAAAAAAAAAGAAAAAAGAAAAAAGAAAAAAAGTGTTTTTTTAATGTGAACCACATCCCAGTGCCAAACAAATGCTTGAGACATAGCCAATCGGGCCCTTTCCAGCGATTTGCAACGGAGTCTTCCGTCCACAGACTCAGTTCCACACTGGAAGAACTCCCATGGAGTTGATCATATATTTTGTGTGGTCCACTGCTGTCGACGGAGAACAGCAATCTATTCAGCAATTGTCCATGCTTCTTGACCGTTACATTTCGGGTTAGAGCGGTGAGAACTATGTATCGCGCTCGAGAGTAGGAGCGATCATAAAGGAGGCGGTCATAATGAAAAGGGGGTAATCGGCATAGAGAAGGACCAGATCCGGCCTTGTGGTGTGAGCTGAAATTGGTTCAGTGTGGGCAGAACTCCATTGATCACATAGCAATTGACATATCCCGAAGACACTGCAACCGTGGAATGTCCGTTCCAGATTAAATGTCTAGACCTGGAGACAGCATCGAGCTACAGTAGTGAGCACGCACGGCGAATCTCTTGTGGAACCGACTAGCTATCCTATATTTGTTGTAACGATTACTGTAAGTCGACAGGTTGACTGGGGGTTGATAGTTGGCATAGCAGCAAAATTGAATTTGCACGACCTAAAGAACCAGGCCTTGTATTACAGAATGCGGGGAAATGCGACATCGCAATTCTCCCCACGAGTGATAATGCTCAATGGTGAGCATGTATGTTGATGCTCTCGACCCGGCGGCCGAGCTTATCGGCCTCCGTTGCTCCCCTGCGCCCTCGCGACGTCACTCCGCCAAGAGTAACCGCTGCAACGAGTGACTGACGCCGTCAGTGTATGTGCATTCGCGCTCTAACTCCCTACAAGCACCACTGTATTGATTATATACCACCACTTGCGGGTATGATGGCGGTACGGCGTTCCGCTCGTCTGAGCGCACTTCCCACTAGCAAAGTACCAGTGCTGCAGCCAACCACCACCGCACAAGCCAGGAGCAGCAGCAGCAGCAGCAGCAGCAGCAGCCGCCAACCGAGCAACAAGATCTCCAAAGCACGAAAACCATCAGCCAGGGGCAAGAAAGCCCTGCATGCAACGGCCCCAGAGCAGATTACCCCTTCAAGCTCGACCCCAGCCAAGTCTACACCCTCATCCGCCACAGCGCCCTCCGACTCGGAGAACAACAGATCAGCAGCGCCTGCTAACATCTGGGACCCCGTGCCTGGTAATCATGATCACAGCGCGAGCAGACCTCGTCAGACCATCACCCCTCCTCCTCTCGACCGGCCCGTCGAACCGCACCGCACCAACGCTACTCTCCTGACCCCGCACGGCTCCTCACTCGTCGCTTACCCTCCCGGAACGGAGAATGAGTCGCCCACCAAGACCGGCCGACCACGGCCGACCGCCACGACGGGGACACTCCTCGAGAAAGCAATTGCCCATCTCATCGCGACGGACCCTCGACTCGAACCGATCATCAAGGCCCATCCGTGCCCGCTCTTCACCCCGGAGGGGCTGGCGGAAGAGATCGACCCCTTCCGAAGCCTGGTCCAGAGCATCATTGGACAACAGGTATCTGGCGCGGCGGCCAAGTCGATCCGCGATAAATTCGTGGCATTGTTCACAACTACAGGAGAGAACGGGACGGATGCGGACAGGTTTCCGACGCCGGAGGACATCATCAAGATGGATATTGAGACGCTGCGGGCAGCGGGCCTCTCCCAGCGCAAGGCCGAGTATATCCTGGGGCTGTCGCAGAAATTCGCGGACGGGGAATTGAGCGCGCGGATGCTGCTGAACGCTACGGACGAGGAGCTGGTCCAGAAGCTGACGGCCGTGAGGGGCTTGGGCCTCTGGTCCGTGGAGATGTTTGCTTGCTTTGCCTTGAAGCGGATTGACGTCTTCTCGACCGGTGATCTGGGCGTGCAGTACGTCAACCCTCTTCCTCGTTGCCTCCACCGTCGAATGTAGTCCGCTGATAAGTTTTTCTCAGGAGAGGATGCGCCGTGTTTACAGGAAAGGATGTAAGTAAGTTGAAGGGGAAAGGTGGAGGTAAGTTCAAATATATGGCTGAAAAAGACATGCTGGAGTTGGCCGCCAAGTACGCCCCATACAGGTACGTGTTGAACATGCTATGTGCTATGAGCGCTCTTCCTCGCTTACATCTATCCTAGAAGCCTCTTCATGTGGTACATGTGGCGAGTGACAGATGTAAATCTCGCCGTGATGAGCTCATAGCTCTGGGAAGAGTAAGTGATGATATAAAGGCCCTTGGTCTGCACAGTCCATCGAAGGATGCATATAAGACTATAGAGCTGTATACAGCCAACCTTCTGGGCTAGCTAGCTCCCTAGATATAAAAGGATATTTGGATAGCAAGGCGGGCACGACCCAATGAATCCATGCATTTTGTGTAGAAGCCCGAGTTCTCCATTGGATGACGTAAACCATGTTTTTATCTAAAGGCATGACACTCGAGGCATGGAGCGTTGCAAACGGCTACGGTCATTGCAAACTGCACAATGAATTGAAGCATAGCAAAAGATTGAGGACAGATGGATTTGTACAGTATCAGTACACGTGGTGGAGCGACATATCAAAAGGTTCGATGAAGCGTTAGCTGGGTGCCAGTGGTGGGTAGCATCTCAGCTGGAATCGGACAAGGTAAACTCTTTTTCTCATTTCTATCCCGACCGTCCACGATTCCTGACGACAACAGTCTAATTCCGGTAACAAAAGGGCTCGAATTAATGAATCAATTACCGGCGGACGACGAGGGTGTCGAGGTCTTCACGCTCCTTCTTCTCCTTCTCGATCTCGCGGATGATGGGGCTCAGGTACTCAACATCCTGTGGTCATCATTAGTATATGTGGTCGGATGGTTGGGAATTGGTCGGGACAGAGAGATATAGCCAGTCCGTGCATCGTTCTCCAAGTTCCGTCCAGGTGACAAATCCGGCTCACGGGATTGGCCGGGACGTTTTGCGGAGAACTGAACGGCCTATACTCGGAAGGCATGGATCAGATTCGACTCACCTCCTCGGGCTTGGTCTGCTCAGCAGGGGGGAGAAGGGTGTGAGAGACGGAGCACTGTTTCCGAGCTTCGTTAGCCTGTTGCTTCTTTGTGATATCGGGGTACTCGGTAGGGCGAACCTGGAATGCTCTGCGGATACGGAAGATGCGGTCGTAGGCCTCCTTGGGAGGAAGACGCTTCAGAGCAGTCTGAACAACGTCGCTCTCCTCGGGGATCAGGTCGTCGGCCCTACGCCCGGTCAGTTCATGGTGCTTTTGGACGCAAACGCGAAGGATAATTTGTCCAGGGCAGGCAGCGATGCGGGTATGAGCAAGGGTTCACAAAAGATATCATGAGAAGTTCATAATATACCCTCCGGAGTCTTTCACCATTGTATACCGAATACATCGAATGCCAGTCTGAGCAGATTGAATGGCGAGGACACCTACTTAAGACCGAGTCTTCTGTAGCCGGCGGCGTCGGTGTACCACTGAGCGAGTGGCGTCATCCAGCGCTTGAGCCATGGGCGCTTGACGATGAAGTTGGTGATGGAAGGAGCGGACATTGTGATAGATCCCAGCAGCGGGTGTGAGAAAGTCCAATTGACAAGGTGGTGTGGCGGGGGAGGACTGCGAGATGTCAAGGCAAGCTTAGCAGGAGATGACCCGACGTTGGAGATTGTGCAAAACGGAGGTTCGGCGGGTGAACTTTCCCAAAAACATCCGATTCTGCGCCTGAGGCACCAAGAATTGTCCGATTTTGTCCATAATATGTCTCACGTGATAGGTTCCCCGAGCATCCCTGTCGACACCCTGGTGGACTGTCGGTGCCTCAGGCCCTAACGGCGCTTGGTGCCGGTCTATTGTGGATTTACTCCACCTGACTTAGAGCGAGCGTTGCTGCTAACTAACGCAGTTCAATTCATCTCGCCCACACGACTCCGTCCTTTTCCGTGTCTTTCAAGTTCCCTGCTCCCACTTGAGTTACTGGCTTCTATGCTCATTTCCCTAGAATCTTCATTGCTAGCTAGGCATGGGGATCATCACTCGCTGAACATATTTTCACTTGAAAGGTTCTGCCATTCCGACTCCGATAGGAGCGTTGAGTCGATCTTCCAGACCCCGCCCCCGTCTGTTCCCCCGACAGGGTAACCTCGCAACGCATCAAGCAATCGCTGGGCAGCCTCGGCTTACAGGGGTGTCATCAGCGTTTTCCTCAGTTTGAGTACCGCTATCTCGTCGCCCGTGCTCTCAAGGACGCCGCTCTTCCGCATTTCACCACGATTTGATAAAGGATCATACTGGGTTCCGGAGCGAGCACCGATATGCTCGGATCCGGGAACCCTCGGTGACTTATAAAACGAATTAATAACTGCTTGGGCGCTGGCTGCGAACATGTATTCCGAAGGACATGGCTCTTCGGATGCCGCCAGCAGTTCTCAAGAACAGCAGGGTCCTGCATCGCCTTCCACGCCGGATACACCGCCTCCCATGCTGACGAACCTGACCTTCCTTGATCGCCTCGAGATGATCTCCACGCGCATACCTGATGTCTGGATTACACCCTTCTGTGGAGCTAGTGCGGGTGTAGCGTCGGGTATAGTGACCTGTCCCTTGGATGTGATCAAGACCAAACTGCAGGCTCAAGGTGGATTCGCACGACGGCGCGGCAAGGCGGTCGAAACGAAGGAACTGTATCGGGGCATGCTTGGTACTGGACGAGTAATTTGGCGGGAAGATGGAATCCGAGGTTTATATCAAGGACTGGGTCCCATGCTGCTGGGATACCTTCCGACGTGGGCTGTCTATCTGGCTGTTTACGATCGTTCCCGGGAATATTTCTATGAGACTACTGGTAAGAGAGTTCTCTTTTTTCACGGATGACGCTGCTGACTTTACTCAATAGACAGCTGGTGGCTTTCCAGAGGGTACGCGTCTCTGACAGCTGGCGCCTGCTCTACACTTGCGACGAACCCGATCTGGGTCATCAAGACGCGGCTTATGTCCCAAAGCCTTAGATCTAGCAGTGAAGGGCTTCGGGCCCCGTGGCAGTATAACAGCACCTGGGATGCCGCTCGGAAGATGTACAGGACTGAAGGGATTCGCTCATTTTATTCGGGACTCACGCCGGCGCTATTAGGCTTGACGCATGTCGCCATTCAGTTTCCCCTATACGAATACTTGAAGATGGCTTTCACCGGATATGGGATCGGGGAGCATCCTGACAACGGCAGTTCTCACTGGATCGGAATCACTGCCGCCACTTTTCTTAGCAAGGTCTGCGCTAGTACCGTCACCTATCCACACGAAGTGCTTCGGACGAGACTTCAGACTCAGCAGCGGACGTCTCCAGCATCCTCCCCAGAGGAAATTGCGTTCCGGGGTGGATTGGACCATCCCCCGGATCGTGGTCGCCCTCCAGGCGCGGCTTCCTCGGACGGAATGCCCAATCGGCCGCGATACACTGGAATTATCCGCACTTGCCAGACGATTCTCAGAGAAGAAGGCTGGCGTGCATTTTACTCTGGAATTGGCACGAATTTGTTCCGTGCTGTACCGGCTGCGATGACTACCATGCTTACCTATGAATACCTCCGGAAGGCCATTTCGCACATACAACATGAAGGAAAGCTGAAGCTGGAAGTGCAAGAGGGCAAAGCCAGCGACTCTTCTGATGCGTTATAAATTACTAGATCATTAAAGTATTGTTATGAGGACATGCAACGGAGGGATGATCGTGTTTGCTGCTTGTCGCTTATCGGGCCATTGATGATTGAAGAGATTTGAGGCTCTTTTGTTGGCTTGCTTCCACGTTACACATTGTTCTATGGATGATACCTCGGCCTTGTATCAATGGTGGTGCCGGGGTAAAGTGACAGGCCCTGACATGTGAAGCTTCGATTGTTTCCTGTTCTTGTGGTTCGCCATTTTGTGGTACTGAGCGTCTTCCCTTTTTCATGAACAGAATTAAGTCATCAATGCAATTGTATATAGTCTGTCGTACAACACTTTCCTCTCTGTCATATTTTTCTGTTCTTTCCACTCTATACTAGATAGTAGCCAGGCTCTCCACTTTTGCCAATATCAGCTCCTTGGGTGAACCTTCAGGATCCAAGTACTAAGGTAGGCCAATACAACGCGATACTTGAATCGAATATTGTCAACCAGCCAGCCAATAAGATGCTATTTCCTGTAAGCGGTGAAATCACGTGATACACACACTAAAATATCCCGCTGCGACTTTTCGAAAAGTTTTCCCTCTCTTCCATACTCGCATCCTTGCTCAGGTTACTCTGTTGAGCCAAACTGCCATGATGGAGGCAAGCGCTTCAACGGAGGTGTCGATCGCCACACTATGATCCGGAATGCCTCACCATGGAGCGACCGCGCGCCACTCCTTAGCATCGAATCTGGAATGATCATGATGCTATTATCCCCCAGCATCCAATAGGCCTTGATGAGGGCCTCATCAGAATGAATCGGTTTTCCAGACGTCAGGTCGCAGCGACCGTTCAGTCCTCCCTCCTCCAGCACACCTATCCATTGATATGATGAACATTTTTCAAATGGTAGATCCTGGTAGTCTTCATAAGGCCTGGGATATGACTATTCATACACTGAAAATTCTGACTCATGGATCTATTGCTTATGGGTGTCGGGTGGGCTTGACTTGATACGATTCTGCTGATCATTCCTGATGGTGGAAGCTGTTTATTACTAGTAGTTTGTTGTCTTTGGGCCAGAGCCCAGATTCACAGCTCCTGTTTACCTCTGCAAGGCTAACCGGCCTGGAGCATATATATCTCTTCTGCCACATAGAGACACAATAATGCAAAAGCACAAATCTAAGTACAGAACAAGACCATCCAAGGCAAACCAGCCAGCTGTAGCCTGTAGCTCTTCTCTTTCCAAGCAAGGTTTTAAATATCAAGCAATCGGAATTTTATGCGCGCGAATCAAGCGTCCTTGCCGCCCCGGCTTTCCTCCAAAGCCTGCTGGACCCAGGATTGTTGAGCGTCCGCCCGCTTGGGACGGGGATTGGTGGTGCTAGTGATGGGGGAAGAGGACTGTGCTTCGCGACGGGCAGTGTGGATGGAACTGATGCAGTAAGAGCAGAGGATGACCGCCATGGTGAAGGCGGCTATGGGGGCGTTGAGGGACTGGAGATTCGATACATGGTCAGATAGGGTTGATGTTGATGTTGTGGTGGTGGTGGTGGTGGTGGTAGATTAGTCATCCTCATACAAGAGGGAAGTATGGAGTTGGGGGAGACAAGAGGGAGAAAAAAAGTACGAGTATAATGACTAGACTACACGCCTGTCAACTTACCCCCGACGATCGGCCCAATGTCTTTCCGGCCATGATATTGGAAAGCTTATAGGAAGGGTGGGTGTTCTGATACGTAGTGAACTGTAAGACCAGCACGTAGCCTGTTCAGCGGCCACGATTGTTGGCTAGTGTGGACAGGCTTTCGGGGGAATAGTAGCCGGGGCCAGGGTTGTTCCGAGGTAGACGTAGACAAACAGAGGGCGGAGGTGGGAAGTGGAAAGTGGAAAGTGGGAACTGGAAAGCAGTGGGCACAACTGAATGGCAATGGGCAAAAATTATCAGATGAAGGCCAGGACGATAACTAGTCGAGCGGTAACCATCGGGAACCGGGGACGAGACCTTGAGTGCTTGGTAATGCCGCCTGCAGACCGTTCCCGTTGGCCGAAGTGCCCGCCATACCAGAACCAGACTAGAACGAACTGTTCTTCCCGCGGGCACTTGGACTGTACAGTAGACACCATTCGGTACGAATGCAATCCAGTCGCAGCAACGCGATAAGAAAGGCTTCAGCAAAACGAACCAACAGTCACCACTCAACCTCCCTGTACTGCATTTCCTGTACTTATTTCTTCGTTGCGACAAAGGGGGAGCGAACGTCATTCCGAAGACCGCATTTCCTCGTATCTCCGAAGCCGGTCCGCGGAGGCAACGGGGTTTCTGGAAAGGGATTAGCGTCGGTGAATAAGACGGACGGACTAAGCTAGTAGTTCAACTTTCCCTCCCTCCATCAAATCAATCATTGACTATCAATCTTCCATCACACATTTCGCCGTCCAGTTCATCAACCCTTTCTTCTCCCAACCTCATCAACGACCACCACTTCTGTTGCTCAAAACCATTACCATACCTTCCTAACAACCTCTTGCACGATACCCTTTCTCTTTTTTCTTCGCCTCTCACATAACCACAACAATGTTCCGCCGTCTCGTAACAGTCGCTCCCCGCTCCGCGGGCGCTCTCTCGCCTCGCATCATCGCTCCCGCCGTCGCCGGCATGCAGCAGACCCAGACCTCGAGCCTGCGGGCGGCGTCCACTCCGTCTCCTCTCCAGCAGCAGCGCCGGGGCTACCACGAGAAGGTCCTCGACCACTACTCCAACCCCCGCAACGTGGGCTCCATGGCCAAGAGCGTCGACGTCGGCACGGGTCTCGTCGGTGCCCCCGCCTGCGGTGACGTGATGAAGCTCCAGATCCGCGTCGACAAGGACACCAAAGTGATCAGCGACGTCAAGTTCAAGACCTTCGGCTGCGGCAGCGCCATCGCCAGCTCCAGCTACCTGACCGAGTTGGTCCGCGGCATGACCCTCGACGAAGCCGCCAAGATCCGCAACACTGATATCGCCAAGGAGCTGTGCTTGCCTCCTGTCAAGTGTATGTTTCTCTTCCCCTTCGATCTCCTGCTTTCCTCTCTGTGGTAGTCATCGAGAATGTGACATCATGGTCATCAAGTTTTCCTTTCCCCAACTAACCCGTCCCCCCCTTTCTTAGTGCACTGCTCCATGCTCGCCGAGGATGCCATCAAGTCCGCCATCTCCGATTACTACACCAAGAACCCCAAGGCTGTCAAGACCAACCTGGCGGGTACTGGTGCCTCGATCCCGGACCTCCATGCTCAGCCCGAGAAGGCGGCCCCTGTCGCCTAAATATGACACAAAAGTCCGAACAAAATCGAAAATACAAAAACAATTTTGAAGAAAAAATAAGGCGATACCATGATACGAATACCTTACCTTGCATCGATTTTTTTTATTCCCGACCCACCGGAATTGGAGGCTGAGCAATGAATGATGGACCTCGAGTCATGATCGCCGCAAGCTAATGGTTCTTGTCTCTTCTTTCATTTTGTGAGAGACAAGGAAAACAAAAAAGCAGTAGCTGTGTGGGACAAAGACGTTCGCTTTTTTCTTTCTTGTTCTTGATTGTGGATCTGGGACGGAGTTATCTGTTTCTTCACTTCAATACTGTACAGCAATTTTTGTGTCTTCTTCTTTCTTTTTTTCTTTTTTTGCGAGCTTTACTCTCCCAGCTAAGCAAGGCAAGACAAGGCAGGCCATTGTGATTAAGTTGACTCGGTGATTACTACAATATATATCAATACTTCCATACCTTCATCATTTCCCTCTTCGTTTTCTATGTGGAATGGTTGCAGCGGGATTTATCTGATTCGCCACAGTTTACGTAGTGCGGACTGACATCATCAGCCATCCATCCATCCATGGTATACTTCATCTGACAATTGACACCTGAACATTGAGGATTCCCGTGCTTGCATGAAACAAGAAATCTACCCTTGCGTTCTATACTATATGAGCCACTAAATATACACCTAGCTTTTCTCAAGAAGATAGTCTATCGAGCCAAAATCACGGACCAAGATGCACAGAAAACCACAAAACAAGGAGGATGTGGTTGAACGCCATAGAAATGCACAAATCGTGCGAAGCTGCAAGACGACCTCTACAGCATTTACTCTGAAAGCTCGAGGGCGGGCTCTCGCGGTGCGAGGTGGAAGGATGCAGGTGAATCGGAACGAGGTGTAGTAGACTGTACAGAGGGATTAAAACACGCTGCTCTATACCAACCCAAAGCGACTCTTCAGTGATAGGAGAGCCTCGTAGACAGAAAGCTTCAGTTCCACGCGCAGGAAGCCGGTCCATGCGCAAAGGAAACGCCAGAAGTTTGAAGGACGGAGAACACCGCCTGTTTCGTAAACGGCTTCCATTTGTTCCTCGAAGACGGTGCGAGTTGCGTATCGTGCGAGAATGAGGAACGTGCGAATGGGCCCTTGGCGAGTTTGCAGGTTTTCGTCAAGACTGCGGGCTGAAATGATATGTTAGAAATATGTAGCCATGCTTAGCAGGAAGAACACGACTTACTCAGGTCGTTTGTCTTTAGGATCAGAAGGATGATACGAGGAACTTGGCCCAGCAGTTCGACGAGTTGTTGCAACATGCCTTCACCGAGTGCACCGGACATGCTCTCCCTCTCTGCGGACGTGCGGGCGGAAGTGATGTCCTTTTTCTTGAGAACCATGTAGTCTCGTCCAGTAATGGCGCTGGCGAAGAGAGGGAACTGCTCATCCGTTATACCGGCAACTTTGTGCGCGGATTCCCGCATGCGCGACTCATCGGCTTCGATCACCGCCAGCCAGAGCTTTGCATAGTTGCGACGCAGGTCTTGAGGAATGTCCCGGTAGAGTCCATGGTCGTAAAGTACGATATCGAAGTTGTGACGTCGACCGTTGGGGTTGAGACGGATAGCGATGTTCCCCCCATGTGGATCGCAATGCAAGGGAGCGTTGGCGCCGAAAATCATTTCGTTGAAGATATGTGCCAATGCGGCGGAAACCTCATCCCGGTCAATGTGATTGGAATCCAGGAACTCAAGGTCGTCGGGTCGTCGTCCGGAAAGAAACTCCATAACGAGGATACGCTTCTGGGCCCACATCACTAATATTTGTGTTAGTCCGCCAATCGACTCGGCCATATGTATACTTAACTCAGATAACACACCTTCTGGAATGACTAGTGGGGCATCTGAATGCTTCTTGAAGTATTCCTTTGTCCGCATAGCATTTTCAGCTTCCATCCGAAAATCCAATTCTTGTGGCAGCGACAGGTCCATCTCTTTCGACAACCATTCCAAATCGTATTCCGGGAAGAAGCGCTTCAACGTCGAAAAGGTGAATCGAGTCAATGCCAAATCAAGCGGCGCCCACTCTGCCAATGCAGGATGTTGCACCTTGACCGCGACTTTCTGACCAGTTTCCTTGAGCGTAGCAACATGCACCTGGGCGAGAGAAGCGGCGCCGATAGGCTGTGGGTCGAAGGATGAGAAGAGCTCATCGATACGACGACCAGTATCAGCGACGAACATCGCTTCGACGGACTCGATGGACGAAACGGGGCATTTATCCTGAAGAGGAATGAAGGTTGTCGTCCATTCCAAGGGCAGCAAGTATCCCATACTGCTCAGATGTTGTCCTAGTTTGATGAAGATCGACCCATTCTGCTCGAGAACACGCAGCGTGCGGTCCGCGCAACGCTTGTGACAGGCCCGTATCGCTTCGTCCCGTTCTCCAGGGGTGGATGTTTCTTGCTTGAGGGTAACACGGTAACTGGTTGCGACCATGTGTGAGTAAGCCTGCCCTACTGGAACTTGGTGCTAAAAGAAGAAGATCTGGTATACTCACTCATTGATACAGATGGCGAGGGCACCGACGACTCGTCCAGTGCGCGCTGCCGCACGGTAGTAGTGCTGAACCTCATCCGAGTATGCTACTGCCGCAATGGCGATAGCTCCACCGATCACAACATATCTGAGTCCTCTGTTGTGCGATTTCCCCGGTCCAGACTGCCTCGTGTCATTCCGTCCCGAGGTCGCGGAGGTGGCTGCATTCCGAGTAGGAAACGGCGGTAGTGATAGTGAATGATCGCCGATACGGCGTCGCTGAGTTGCGAAAGGGCGTGTAGTTGCAGATGAGAGCAAACGAGAAGTAATAGGAGGAGTCGACGAACGAGTTAGGGGGGGGTTCAGGTGGGCAAGATTGGATCGTATGACCACCGCGGGATCAAAATTGTTGGAAGCCCGCAGCGGGATGCGGAGCGCCGCCCTCATCCCGAACACGAACAATGCCGTCTAGAGAGCGACCACAAGTCGACAGAAACGAAGGCTTGGACGGTGTATTTCATCCGTGCCAGCACCGGAATCCTAGGGAGGGTTTGATTGATGAAAGAGAGGATGCAGAGAAAGGACAAGAGAGCGAGGGAGAGCGAGAGAGAGGGACTATGGAAAGAGAAGGGAGGCAAGCAGGCAGGCAGGCAGGCAAGCCGTGGTGACCGCCGCGTCGCAATTTCCTCGCACCTTTTTTTTGCCTGGCCGGAATCGCCCATCGCCAATCGCCAATCGCGGCTTTTCCGCTCCCGAAGATCGCCACCACCCGGACGAGGTTTTATTTACACTTTTCATTCTAGCTTACAATATGCAGCACCCTGGGTGTAGGACACCATATGTGAATAGTTCGCCTTTCCTTGGTTCCTTTGTACACCACCATCTTCGTTCTCCTCGAATATGCATAGCGCCCATACGAACGGCCGCACTGGATGTCATCAATGGTTATTTACAACATATCGGCCGTTGCGACGAATAAGTCCCAGGATCCCTGTAGCTTGTAGCCTCCTCCAACAATATGCCCTGAACACCATACTCTGCTACCTTAGCTGTTCGGCTTTCGTGCGTCCTGATGCAGCTCTGATGGATGACTGGGAGAAAAAGGCCAGAAAACAGGTCTGTCGGCAGCGAAATCTCAGAAGCAGAGCGCTGCGACTCCTTCCTCAATGTAGCCTAAACATGCCAGAAGGTTTCTCACAAAACCCGAATGGCACGATCGGTGCAGCATAAGTAGGGATAGATGCGTTGAGTCAAGGGGCTTTGGACGTCCAATCCGCCTCAGTATGTGTCGGACGTCGGCGCTGCGGAAGAATTGAGCGACGACGCGATAATGAGCTTGCAGGCCTGGACTCGTCTTCCGCCAGGAAATCGACGTGAGATAGTCGGTTACCGACGCCTCGTGAAATCCTATTCCTCGAAGCTCCAGGTGCGGGATTGACTCCCGCCGTGAGGCTGGAACTTAGCCCATCTCGACTTCCAGGTCGAAGAGCCAGTGCTGAGCTACCGAGGGCATTTCGGGGATGGCGTTGGCTTTCTCGCCCGTCAAAGTAAGCCTTGGACTGACTGAACCGATTCATCTGTGGAGTGGCCGGGGCCGATTGATTTGCAAGCAGACTTGGTGGAGTGGTTGAATTACTCCGCCGTCTAACGCCTGGTTTGCGCTTTTCTAAGTGATATGATTCACTTTTCTCATTAGACTGTATCAGCTTGCCGGCCATGTCCCTGACCAAAATTGCTGGGTCGTGTTCAAGTTCTCGAATTGCGTCCAGGAGACCGTATCTGGCAAGAAGGCCACCCTGCTCCTCGCTGGAATCGCAGATACTCGATATAATGCGCAGCATGTTGAGCCGTACCGCAGCTTTGTTGTGGCGTAATTTCTGTCCAATCTTGGTGAATATGTCGGGTCTTGCGAAAGTCGATGCAATCGGCGGGCTTAGCCTGAGAAGTTTCTGGAGTGGCTCCAGGAGATTCTCAAAAGCGTTTGCCTTGGAGACAGTCAAACACCTGAGAATAGAGTCTGTAAATGAAACTCGTTCATAACGATTATCAAGGAGATGCTCCTCGACCTTAGCAGTTTCTTCTTGAAGCCTTTAATCGCGCGGTTAGCCTAAGGTAGATGCTATCGGGATCGAGCACTGACCAGTTGACAATAGCATCCAGAGCTGTAACTTGCCAGTACGGGTCTGACAGAAGAGAGATGTAGAATGCAAGCCCTTTGTTACGCCACAGTTCACGACGACCGACCTTCCCAGAATGCGCCATGTCACAGAGAATAGGCAAGGCAAACTCCTTCAAAGGCCGCTCTGTTTTCACAATTTTCTGAAGAAGAGGTACGATGCCATTCAAAGCTGCATCTTCTTGTCGAGACTTATTCAGGCGACACATGTTGTAGATAGTGTTGAGGATCTGGTTGGAAACCTCCCGGAAGTGTGGGCGTTTGATGGTAGATCGTAACAAGTCTGTAAGAACATCGATTGCATTTGAGTTCTGAAGCGCGTCGAGTGTTGTGGAAAGCATTGACAAGTTCTTAATGAACTTCAGCATAGTGATTTGGTGTGGCGGTGTCATCCGTCTTAATTCCTTCAAGACTCCTAATCCGAGAGTCAGTGATTGTCTCGAGTATGAAGCTTTGTTCTGGCTCCCTTACTATGCAATACCGTTCGCTCTGCCACCATTTCCTTCACATGGTTTTCGGCCTGCGAGAATATGAAGAAGATGTTTGCAATCCGGCCCTCGACGATCTCAGCTAATTCGCCTTCTTCATCCAGCACGCGACTGAGAACGAGTGATAAGGGATCCAAGACAGAATTGCGTGACAATATTCTACAAAAGTCATTCTTTGGCGTAGAACCCTGTTTCTCGTTAGATCTTGCCTGGCGAGTTTAACAGCGCAAGTCGGTACTTACCTGCAATTCAAAGACACTCCAAATTCCGTTGACGCCAATAAGGACCAAGTCACGCTCGTCCTCATAGTCATCTTCCAAGAACTCAACTAAAACATTGAGACCACCCGCACTGACGAACATTTGCAGGGTAAGAGTTGAAGTTTGGTACATCTGCTGCACAAAGGCTGCCGCTTCGAGACGAATCTCTCTCGGGTATTTCTTGGCGGCGAACTCATTTATGATGGGAATTCCGCCCACGAAGCAAAGATTCTCTTGGATGTCGTAGTCATTGAAGATGATCGCATTGACAATGCGCAACAGGCAGAGTATAATGTCACGCCGACGGCATATGTCCAGTATCTCCAAGATCGGCAGCATTCCATGAGCGCTAATAATGATGTTCTTCGTTTCAGGTAGGTCACAGAACACAGTCAACAATTGTTCGGAGATTTCCCCCAGTACGTCCTCATCCTGGGACGTTTTCAAGGAGCTCACGAGCCCTTCAACCTGGCTCTTAAGACGTGCATACTTGTCGCGTGCGATGTTAGCCTCCAAGTCCGTTTCATCAAGTCCCTCTTCGAGTTGTGCGAAAGGATCATCTTCATCATCCTGATCTCCAAGCCACGAGTTGTTTGACAATTTGGAATTGAGTCTCAACGTGCTTTGGTTTGAGTTGTTCTCGCTCTCCGGCCTGTCTAGAGCAACCTCATCGGCACCTAGGATATCAGAGAAATCTTCGTCGCGCTCGTTCTCAGCATATCGCTGGATTTCAAAGTCGGAGCGGGTGCGTTTGACAGATATCCGCTTTCGAAGTTGTGGCTCATGATCTTCATTGCGTTCTGGCGATTCTTGATACCGAACCAGTTCTTTGGATGGCGAGACTGGCGTATCGGTTTCTTCGTCGGTCTCCTAAAATCCGATCAGTACTTGGGGAAAGCGATAAGGCACGACATGCTTACTTGAAAGGCGCTAAGTTTGTGGTCTAGAACATCCTCATTAGCATTGATGAGGTCGGAATAATCCTCGACTGAGTTTTCTTTGAAGAAGGAAGTCGGTCTCTGTGGTTTTAGTGGTGGCACCGGGGTTTTGAGAATTGGCACATTTTGGTGAATGGCAGCTATGGTGGTCTTGGGCTGACTCGGTGTGCTCTCCACTCCTGCTTGCCGCAAAGGATAAGGACGGATGGTTTGCAGGGAGTCTGCTTCGGGAAACCCATTCAGGGAAGAATCATCAGAATCCGAAAAGGCGTCATCTGACTTGAGCACTGTCCCATCGAGTGATGCGAATGCTTTCAGCTTTTCAGATGACAACATGCCCCCAAAGTTATCTTGCGGTCGAAGATGAGGCAGCTGTAACGCGCTTGGGGATATTGCTGTCGCAAAGTCATCATCCCAGTTGTCCTCCTCAGTAGACTCAGGGGATCGATATCGATTAACATGCTTTGAGACCGGACTTGGGAGTGTGTCTGTCGTTGGTGCATACCGAGACGGGCCCAGATCTGGGCGGAACGATGCAGAGCCCTGTGTGTCGAACCTGAAAGGCTTGCGCAGCGTCCCCATTTCGGGAGAACGAAGAGCTTCGTTCCATTCTTGCACACTCTTCACAGCTTCCTCGTATTCGGTCGACTTCTTGGGAACCACTGAGTCTGTTCTGCGAGCATTGACAATCCAGGGGTGCTTAAGAAGTTTTCTTGCCGATACACGAAGGTTGGGATCTTTTTGAAAGCACTGCATCAAGAAATCCTTGACAGCCTGCGAATTCTCTCAGCATTGGGCAGACGAAACGAAGGAATGGGAGAAAATGCTACTGACCGGCGAGGCTCCTTGTGGGAGAGGTGGGTGATCATCATTGACAATGCGGAATAAAGCTGGCATTGGCTGAAGATTGTAGTATGGCGGCTTTCCTTCTAGAAGCTCAATGACAGTGCACCCAAGACTCCAGATATCAGACGAAGTGGTTGCACCCGAGAGCTCTATAACTTCAGGAGCCATCCAGTACGGCGTGCCAACCACGCTGGATTCACTAAGCCCCGTCGTTCGACTGGCGACACCAAAATCTGCAAGCTTGACAAGGCCCTCTTTAGTGGTGAGAATATTGGCTCCTTTGATATCCCTATGGATAACACCTTGTTCATGCAGGTACAAAAGGCCGTGCAGCACTTGTGACATGTACAGGCCAACCAAGTTCTCAGGGAAGCGACCAAAATTCTTCGCAATGGAATGCAAAGAACCATTCTCACAATACCTGAAATGATTAGCGATCTAGTTCCCTCATAATTAGAACACATCTAGTACTCAAGTATGATGTTCAGAGTCTCTGCGGATTTCACAAAGCCTTGATATTTTACAATGTTAGGATGCTGCAACTATATGTCAGCGTCATCTCAACTTTGGATGGAGATTGCTGAAGTCGGCGTCATGTCTTACATCCAAGTTCTTCAAGAGATCGATTTCCAGCTGCGACCCACGGAGTCAGCGACGATCGTGTGGATGGTGAAGTAGCATTTTATGTTTACCATGATGACCCGCAATTCGCTCTTCGGTAAATCTGCCAACTTGATTTGCTTGACAGCAACGGTCTCTCCTGTGTTCCAATTGAGGGCTCTATACACCGAGCCAAACGCGCCTCTGCCTAGGCAGTCACCCAATTGCTTTGTTGCCACGGGCGTTAGCTTGCGGTGTCTCAGTAAGACAAGAGGGCTGGCACCATACAAAATCCTTGAGCTCGGCAACATCTTTCGCCGATGATTTGATCATCCTGCTGTCTTTCCCTTTGTCTTCTCGTTTGGTCGGGCTGGACCCCAGTCTCGTCAGTCGTGATTTGGCCGGAGTGCCTGGTGTTTTGGACGGTGGAGGTGGCCCCTCACTCGGTTCGGATGATCGAGAAACCATTGTCCAAGGGTATTCAGATCTGGTGTCTTATCACTGCTCTGGGTCCACTGATATCCAACAAGATGTCTCAAACAAAAGCGATCGCTCAAACGACAAATAACTCGAAGGCCGATGCCAGAAAATCGATCGGTTTATTCATGTCAGCACAATCTGAGGTCTAGTCACATTGTAACTGTCAGTCGAGATCACAGAAAGCTGCAGAAGACTGCTACAGACGATAACAAGCACTAGTATCGAGACTATATGGCATGATTGTCGTTGAACAAGAAAAATCAACATACTGGAAGGGTACCTGTTATCGTCCTCACAAGAGCCGCGTCTGTCAAGCGCGCCGCTGAACATTAGAGCCTGGCTCTTGAGTTGAAGCAAAGACTCAAATTATCAGCTCTGCTGCAAGGTAATCTAGCACTCTAACCATGCAAAAAGACGGGGAAAAAAAGGGAAACGAGCACTTCCTGTTGTGCTTGCCGGGGCAAACGCAGGGACGCTCGGCGGGTGTTTTGAACTTTCCCTTTCTCCACAGCACCACTTGGCTTGGGCCATGACGCAGCGCCCGGCCGCTGCTGTATCTCCGATCGACCTTATCAGAGCCAAAGCGGAGTCTGTCTGGAGGCTGCCTCTAATTTGATTGATTAAACAGCTAGACAATAATACACAATTTTTGCACTGCATTCTTTGTCATTCCAGACCATTGTTTCAGTGGCTTACTACACACGTGCTTCCATTACTAATTGGGTATGCTCAAGAGGATTTGCACGAAAGGGTCGAGATAAGCTAGTAAGATGCTAGAGTGGGTATCCTGTAAACACAAACCTGCCACGACTCGTGATGTGTCACGACGACTTTTGTGCTTCTCGAAGAAGACGCAAAACATCAGACGCAAGGTAGAGACTGCCAGCAATGACCAATGGGCCGCCGTTAGCTTCGTGACAGGCCCACTCGATTGCAGCAGAGACATCGCAGCCAAATGTCTGCACTAGGCCGGTCTCTGAGATAGACTGCGCACATGAAGCCACTTCCTCAGTATCAGCCGGTTTCACCCAGGGCATCCCGTCGACAGGACCAAATGCTGTCACTGCGACTTTGTCACCAGTCCGAATGATGTTTTGAAATAGAGAGGATAGATCTTTTCCCGTTGAAGCTGCGATAACCCAAGTAACATTTTTATGCTCTGTACGTAGCTTCCGATCCACATACTGCCCAAGCACTTCCGCCGATTGAGCGTTGTGCGCGCCGTCAAGTAAGACGGGCTCTTCCCGGCTCACCAAAGGGCCCAGTGTAATCTTCTGTAAGCGGCCTGGCCACACCACGCTCGACAATTGTGGAAGAAGCATATCGACGTTGATTTCCGGACGGAATCGATCCAGTGCCAGCTTAAGTGCAGATACTGCGCAAGACATGTTGGCTTGTTGATGAGGCTGCAAGTCGAGCGTCGCGAATAGGCGGCCAAGTAATGGTGACTGGGTTTCTGGGCGGACAAAGTTCGATTCAATCCCCAGCTCCCTGATGCGTTTGTCCAATGTTCTAATTACTTCAATCGAGTTCGTGCCGTCCACCACACATGGCACTCCAGCCTTCAATATGCCCGCTTTCTCGCGTGTAATCTGCTCGATGGTATCTCCGAGTAGGGACTGATGGTCAAGTCCGATTTTCGCAATAACAGACACTAAGACATCGCTCAAGATATTCGTTGCGTCTAACCGGCCGCCCATGCCAACTTCAACTACGCCGATATCGACTCGTTCATGGTTGAAGATTTCGAAGGCCGTTGCAGTCAAAAGCTCAAATTCGCTTGCACCGATGCCGAGGGTTTGGTCTCGAAGTTTGACTCTAGCTTCGATTTGTCGAAAAAGTGACTCTTGAACAACATCCTCGCCGATTGTGATGCAATCCCATCGGTCGATTAGATGGGGGGAGGTGAAGCGACCACAGCGCACTCCGCCGGCAGACAACAGGTGAGATAGGTAGGCACTGATGGAACCTTTGCCGTTAGTTCCAGCAATATGAATGGCCTTCCATGACAGCGGAGTCTGCTGGAGGAGGCGGGATATCCGACTTAGGCCGAGCTCTATCATCCCTCAATGCACACACTGATATATAGCTGAGGAGGTGTCAAGGCTCATGGCCAGCAAGCAAGGACAGAGGCAGTTGACATGGGGAAGGTGTAGTTATCAGTTGAACCCGTCCGGTGCTCTTAACGGGAAAGTCAGCAGCTGTCGGCAAGATAATCGGAAATCGGGAAAGTGCCCGATAAGAATTTGATGCCTTAGGCGACAACTATGCAACCCCACCACATTAATCTGCAAAATGGTACAATATGTTGCAGTAGCAGCGCAGTATCACTTCGACCCTTACTTCATTGCAGTAGTCATCTATCATCAGACACGTACTCCTAGTGAAGGGTTTTTGAGTCTGTACTTTACTGTTTGTTGTCCTATCCAACATCTCCGGGCCGCGGTAAACCTCAGGTCTCCCTCCATGGCAAGCGTAACTACATAACACGCGAGTCCATAGTAGCACAATAGCCGCCGTACTGGAATATACGCGTGTGGCGATGGCGCCACACACAAGTTGTCCAGCCGCCGTTCCAACAACAAACCATTTAACCCCCAAAAAAAGCACTGAACAACCCGAGGCGCTACGGCGGGCCTCAGGCGCCAATATCGTTGCCTCCGCTTTTTTCCTTTACGAGGAAAACCAAATCTCGCCGTTTCTCCATCGACATTCGTCTTGGTCGTTGCTCCCCGCAATCTCCGTGCTACTGTGCTTACTATTAGTCTTCTGCGTCAATCTCCCTGTGCTTCTGAATGTGATAGCTTTTCTTCAATCTTCAATCGTTCTAAACGTGACTTTTTCTCCGATCCTTCTTCGCATTTACTGTAACCATGGGTATTCCGTGAGTATCTGTCTCCCCAGTTGGCCGTCAATACTTTACGCGCCCTGCTCCATTAGGCTAAAGCGCCCGGGACAATTGTGTTGACTGACTGGTTATGATATAGGATGTTCTGGGAGCCTTCCCCGACCGAAGACACGAGAAACCACGCTGCCAAAGATAGCTGCGCTGCCGCACGCTCTGCGATTCGTCGTCAGGTCAGCGTTCGCCGCCCTTCGCGCTATGGCTCTGTCCTGCGCAATGCAACTTTACGAACAATTTCCCCACGAACCCTGACAGAGGAGATTGAGCGCGAGCGGGAACGCGAGCGCGACTCGAATAACCCACAGCGCCATGGTCGCTCGCCTATCATCCCTCGGGCGCTGGCGTTAGCAGACGAGGTCGAACGCGCACGCGAGCGCGAGGCGAACGGCATACAGCGTCATGTTCGCTCGCCTCTTTCGAATGCTGCTGCCGCCGAAGATCCGTTCAACCTCACCAGTGGATTTCTAGACCCTCTACGATCTCGGAACGCACGCCGCAATGAACAACGGCGGCTTGATAACGCTCTTCAGCAAGGCCGCTCAGGTCAACAACGCCTGAGGATACCGCGCAATTCGATGACGTCCGACTTTCAGCGCCCCGCTTCTCCCGGTCTAGATACCAACAACAGGCAGGATCAGGATCACCCTCAATTCACGCCTCGCTTTGCCCCTGCAGTCGCATACCACGGGAGCGCTTCTTCACATGCGCGACGAGATGCTCTCCACCTGTCGCCCTTCCCCTTGCCTGATGGCCTGGGCCCAGATCTGTCTGCGACACTTGCTTTCCCTTCCTTGCGGCGTGTTGGTCAGCGGTCCATCAATGATGCCAGTCGTTCTAATCACGAATCACTTATAGACGGTCTAGGCGATCGCCAAAGGAGCCTCAGCCCTGATGATGACCACGCCAACGATGCATGGGAAACACTTTTGACGACGATCACGCCTGACACAAATCTCCCAAGTGCTGATTCATCGTTCAATTCAACATCAGCGCCCGGAACAAACTTTCCTGTGAACGGAGCAATGAGGAGCACCGCCGCCGGAATGCGGCCCGTTTCAAACTCAACGTACTCGGGTCCTGGAACAATGGAGATAGTTCTTGATCCATATCCAGAATACTTGAATCCATGTGACTTCCCGCCGAGTGCTACCGATTCCGAAAGCGACTCAGAATCTGAGACTTCGCATTCCCTGATTCGGCGCTACCGTGCTGTGCGTCAACTTGAGTCTTTGAGGCGAGCTGTGGATTTTCAGGGGGCCATGATACGCTCCCAGGGGACCGCAAGACGAGCACCCGAAGTTCAGTCAACTATGAGTAGCCAACCTCCGATACCCACTGTTTCGTTTGCCTTTTCCGATTCTTCTACCGACCAAGACTTGCATCAGGTTCAGGCCGTGCTGGACCGTCTCACAAGCCGGCAGGACCTTCCTGACGATTTTTGGGCGTCCGTTGGATTGTCTCGCACTTTCGGTCAGCGTGAAACTGACGAGCTAAACGAGGAGCCAAACGTCGCCGACACAATCGACGGACCGATTAGTCGTAGCTAAACAGCAGCCCCCTTCATTCGTATTTTCCCCATCTGTTTTATTTTGGTTGTGGTTGTGGAATTTTGATAGACAATACCTGTTATGCTTCACCCAAGATACCGGGCAACGCGCAGACTTCAATGGTTGAGTTTCTCTTTAGCGGGGATGATGTTTTGCTGGGCGTTAGCGGTGTGTTCTGATACTCTTTTCCATCAAGGGCGGCGGGCACCACCTGATACGGAAATAATCTTCTCCATACATACTTGTTTTGTTTTCTCTGTACTGATAACTCAGATACCTTCTATTGATGTACTCCCAATTGCTAAAAATCCATGTATGTCCTAAAGAGATTTTATAGCCATAATTATCAACAATTCGCCTGCTTAGAGAATCAGTACGCCGCCCTGAAGTTTAGGCAAGCATCCTAGAGATTAATTCCTCCCTCTTTGAGATGCTTGTGATGATTGAATTAAACCTACGACAGGACCTATTCTCAGGTAGATTATAAACTAAGTACCTTCACGGTACTCCGTACGCGATTGCTGCTCCCCTTCGACGTGACGTATCATTACTCCGGAGTAAAGGCGATAGCGAGCCCCCACTCTGACGACAAGCCCCGCAGACTTATTTATCTCAATGAATCGCCGAGCTTCCACCATTCATGCAGACCTTCATTGTCCAGCTCGCTCGCGCATTATATTGTACAGCTACCAGAGCCCCAATACAGTCTAATCAAGTCTCTTAGATCGCACTTGGGACCTCTACAATACACTCCTTAAGACAATCTCAATCTGCGACCACACGATCCTCGGCGCAAACAAACAGTTCCAACCTTTGCATGGACGGGACCACGGTTATCGGTGCATTGTCCCAATAATCCAATCTGGTCAGATTCTCGTGTGTGTGCGTGTTATTGTCTCTTGGTCCACAGATTCTATTCCATCATGGAACAACAAGTCGATCGATTAGTCGACAAGATCTGGAGTGAGTGTTACACCCCCGGAATTCCTCCCCAAGCGGACGAACAAGCGGTGTCTTTTTGTGTCCGACGAGCCCCAGAATCCTCCTCGGTAGCTAATGCCTCGAGCCACAGACAAATTCCAGTCCACACCGGATGATGCCCGACTGTTGATCGCCGTCAGTGGGATTCCCGGGTCCGGCAAGACCGAGCTGGCTACGATGATGGCCAACCGCATCAATCAACGATACTCCGCGCAACATCCAGACTCACCGCTTATCGCAACCACCGTCCCGATGGACGGCTATCACCTCACACGGGCTCAGCTAGCCGCCATGCCTGATCCTGCGTACGCGGCTGCCCGCCGCGGCGCCGCGTTCACCTTCGACGGGGAAAAGTTCCTCAGGCTCGTGCAGGCGCTGCGGGAAGAGGTTACACCCCAGACACGAAGTCTGTACGCTCCGAGTTTTGACCACGCGGTCAAGGATCCCGTGGATGACGACATCACCATCCCGGCCACCTGCCGGGTGATTTTCTTCGAGGGCAACTACCTCAGTCTGAATAAGGCACCGTGGAGCACGGCGGCGGAACTGATGGATGAGCTTTGGTTTGTGGAGGTCAACTTCGAGGTCGCTCGGAGGAGGTTGATTCGACGACACGTCAAGGCGGGCATCGCGAAGGACGAAGCCGATGCAGATAAGCGAGTAACGGAGAACGACTTGGTCAATGGGAAGGAGATCGTGGATTGCAGGATGAATCTGCAGGAAATCATTAATAGTGAATTTGACCCTGCGTGGGAGAGGTAGAGCAAGGGGTTTTTGAAGGGCATAGAACCATGATCACCAGACTGGTTAGAGGCTTATGAACTGTTCTAATCTCAATGGTGATTCGCATCACTAGATGAAAGCTTCATATACATACTTCGCTTTTTCTCTGATGTTTGCGCAATCGCGGGGTGTTGATCTCCCGTCGTCTTTTCCGATAGACTAGCTACGAATGCATTCACTGATTGTCTGGCTACTCGAGTTCTCCTGGGCCCCATGAAAGGATATATTGTAACCTAGAGCTTGCTCCATGCCGTTTTTATTTCCAACAGAGCTCAGCATGATTAGCCATAGTACGTGCGAAACAGGAACGTATATTGTGCCCACCAGAAGAGGTTCGTCAAGGGCTGTGCTTGAGCCTCATCGACAATACCGGAATGTCATTGTGTTCGGTTGATCCACAGGATAATTTCGTAGGTCAGACCAGAGCAAATCGCGGATACAAGACATGTAACATTTTGATTGGCCCATAAAACCCGAAAATAAGTACAAGAAGAATCACCTTTGCTCTGAGACTATATAGAGGGCTTTACAACAGATTAATTATGACTCAGCAGGAGGTAGTTAGAGTTGCTGTGAGATATGTATGTGGCGATTACGTCACGTCAACTGGACGTTTCCTCAATCAACTCTACATCATTTCACTATCGACTCTGAGCTCTCGAGCACTTGATTCGAGTTTCCATTGGGCAGAGGTTTCTCAAAGAACAGACTAAGCCAAGAGTGAGTTGGGGAATGGCAGCACAAAGAGGGGCCAAATGCGGGAGTATAGGCTCTGAACTTATACACGGAGGGTATACTCCATTCAAGATACTGAGCACTGTGACAATGCTATAGACTTTAGCTACTTCCTCCGATTCGACTCATCCTGTCCGCACGAAGTAACGAGGAAAGCTTGCACTATCATCCCCAAACAGCATAGTGCCTAGCTTGCCTAGCATTATGATAATCCTCACATGAAAGCTTAACTTCAAAGTCGCTATCTAGCCGCAGACAAGTACAGCGTGACTTCCTTCCAGAGAAAGTGCATTGCCCGATATGTCTTTACGGAGGTTTCACGGACATTTGCCTGCGGGCCTCAGCCCGAAGGAAGAGGAGGCTGATACCGGTGCCCGAAAGGTCTGTCTTGAAGAGCGCGAATTCCTGTCTCAAAGTCATATGTCCTTCTAAGCATTGTCTTCGTTCTTAGACAATTACAGTATGTAAATGTTATACACAAGATGCCCGTACTAGTTAGAGCAAAGAAGGGATACCGTGGCTCCGCGTACCCACAATTGCTGCGAACCCTCGATCCGCGGCTTAAGGATATATTCACCTTGCGGTCGTTCAGAAACCGAGCAACGTTCGTTAAGCGGCAATCATGATTCCTGATTGAAGCCGGCAATGGGTTCCTGGTGGTTAGCCTTACTTGTCCTAGTGGTTCCACTGCTGGCCTAAGCCCTTGCGGCAGCTAACCGTTTCAGTCTTAGTAATGTATGACCCCAGTTTTGTGGTTGATCGACGGGGACAATTCTGTAACTAGGAATGGGGGGTCGTTATTCCCTGTTGAACTTGGGGAATTCTTGACCTCTGAATTCCTCATTCTCGATGTCTTTGAGTCTCATCACCAGACACCTCAGCATCACTATCTGTCGCTTCTTCAGATCCTAACACACTCCTTTTTTCTATTTTGAATTTTGTCCCTGGAAACCACCTCCTATCCACGCCTGCTTCCCTACTAAACACGGCCTCCGTCTTCTTGAAGTATTGATAGACTGGGTGAATAGTGTTACTCCAATCACGCCTCAGATGTTGCTCTTTAAGCCCGCTTTTTGCGCTGTTTGCGCCTTTGTTTGGGCCTTCAGTAGCCTTGTCGCTGCTGTTCCAACCCGTGATTGTCTTCTGTTTGCTGTAGGGTAAGTGCGCCTAGTATGAGTAGTATCTCTGATAGTTATCGAGATTGCTGGGAAATCACGCTGGAGTACTTGCTAACAATTAAACTACAGCTCTCAATCCATTCCGGACGACCTCCAAGCTATATGTGTTACCAATGGCAAACAAATCAAGGATAAAATCTCAAACCTCTGCGGTGATGATACCAAGGTGGCTATGCAGCAGTTCTCGGACATATGTGCCTCAGCTGGATACAAAGGTGGTATGTTGGATGAGAAGTTGCCGCGCAGTCATATACTGGATCCTCTGACTTAGTGTAGTGAACGATATATTTACCATTTCTGGTGTCTCATCATCAACTGCTGTTGCCAACCCCACAAGAACCGGTTATGGCATTGTCACCCCAACCGGCTCGTCTAGCATTATATTAGTGCCCAGTTCGAGTCCAATTCCCAGCTCCAGCCCGAGCCCATCACCAAGTGGTCACCCCAGCGGGATAATTTCAGCCGGTGCGTCAGACCGTCATGTTCCTGCTGCAGCATTCGCAGCTGTTGTTTTCTTTGGAGTCGCGGCGGCACTGTAGTCTTTCTCAGCTGCTGCTGCCAACCCCGGATTCGTTGCTTCTAGTTCTCAGCCTTGTTATTATATGTTTGAACCTAAGACCTTGTACCATACTTTACCGTAGACTTGATGTACCCAAAGTATGATTTGCTTTGTATTTGTTACTCGATGGTGCAAACCAATTTTTCGGTGTCCTAAAGGGGAATTTCAAGGAACCCGATGGATGGGGACGGAGAAATCTTCTAAGCTAGCTTCCCAAAATCTTACCAAGCAGTGCGGCGGTCTAGCTTTGGTGGGTAAATTGATTAGATCGTTTGGTACAGTAGTTTATTGAAACGCGAAGCTGATTTGTAAGACCCAGTCGGCTCTTCCAAGTTAACGTGGCGTGAGAAACTCAACAACAACACGTGACTTTGGGGCGTCGCGCGTCTCCGGCAGCCGGAGCAAAAGGAACTACTAGCGCCAATGCAAGGGCCGCCCATTTAGCTCAAACACGAAAATTCGCGTTGATTTCCACCAGCAACGCGTTTGCCCCGGCGACGTCAAATATCTACCACTCTCGCTGCCCCTCCTCCCTCTTTCTCTTTCTTCTCATCCTCCACAAGCTCCTGTCTTCAGGACCATTTTTCTCTGTCTTTTTTTTTCTTTACGAAAATCATCATCTTCACGCCTCCTCACATACGATTTACTGATCTTTTCTTTCTGTAATTCCACTTTTCTTCTTATACCCTTCCTGCCATAATCTTCGATTCTACGCATTCCCCAGCCATTCCCTGTCATTCAAAATGTTTGTCTACAAGAGAGGTGAGCATTTGGCCCTACACCGTCAATCCATGGCGTCATGGATCCCTACTTTGCATTCAAATCCGCTTCGAAACGTTCCTGTTGAAGCTCGTTGCCACCCGTGTTGCAAAATTTGCTAACGACATGTTGAACCGCAGACGGACGCAAAGAACGCGTGCAGTTCGACAAGATCACCGCTCGTGTGTCGAGGCTCTGTTATGGACTCGACCCTGAGCATGTCGACGCTGCTGCTATCACCCAGAAGGTCATCTCTGGTGTCTACCAGGGTGTCACCACCGTCGAACTCGACAACCTGGTATGTGGAGGTCACTAGGTGCTTGACGATCGAGTTCTGACTTTGCTTGCAGGCCGCCGAGACTGCCGCGTACATGACCGTCACACATCCCGATTACGCTATCCTCGCTGCTCGTATAGCAGTTTCCAACCTTCACAAGCAAACCAAGAAGCAGTTCTCGCTGGTCATCTCTGACCTCTACCACTATGTCAACCCCAAAAACAACAATCCCGCACCCATGATTTCTAAGGAGACGTACGAATTAGTCATGAAACACGCAGATGAACTCAACTCGGCTATCGTTTATGACCGTGATTTCAACTACAACTTCTTCGGCTTCAAAACCCTTGAACGGTCATACCTTCTGCGCATCAATGGAAAGGTTGCAGAGCGCCCTCAGCACTTGTTGATGCGTGTGTCCGTCGGTATTCACGGCAACGACATCGAGAAGGCTATCGAGACCTACCATCTCATGTCTCAGAAGTTCTTCACGCACGCTTCCCCGACTCTGTTCAATGCTGGTACTCCTCAGCCTCAACTTGCCTCATGCTTCCTCGTCGATATGAAGGAGGATAGCATTGATGGCATCTATGACACACTCAAGACCTGCGCCATGATCTCCAAGACCGCTGGTGGTATCGGTCTAAACGTTCACCGCATTCGTGCCACCGGCTCCTATATTGGTGGAACCAACGGTACCTCTAATGGTCTGGTTCCCATGCTGCGGGTCTTCAACAACACCGCCAGATACGTTGATCAGGGAGGTAACAAGCGCCCTGGTGCTTTTGCTATCTACCTGGAGCCCTGGCACTCGGATGTCTTCGAGTTCCTGGACCTCCGCAAGAACCATGGTAAGGAGGAAGTTAGAGCTCGTGACCTGTTCTATGCTTTGTGGACCCCCGATTTGTTCATGAAGCGTGTTGAGTCCAACGGCGACTGGACTCTGTTCTGTCCTAACGAGGCTCCTGGTCTGGCCGATGTCTACGGCGACGAGTTCGATGCTCTTTATGAAAAGTGAGTTTCCTGTTTTGAGCCTACTTGCTAGCCATTTCTAACAGGATTATAGGTACGAGAAGGAAGGCCGCGGCCGCAAGACCATCAAGGCGCAGAAGCTCTGGTATGCTATTCTGGAAGCTCAGACCGAGACTGGCAACCCCTTCATGCTTTACAAGGATGCATGCAACAAGAAGAGCAACCAGAAGAACCTGGGAACCATCCGCAGCTCCAACCTTTGCACCGAGATCATTGAATACAGCGCTCCCGATGAGGTTGCTGTCTGTAACCTGGCTTCTCTTGCCCTCCCTACTTTCGTTGATGCCGCCCGCGGCGAGTACGACTTCGGCAAGCTTCATGAAGTCGTGCAGGTCTTGGTCCGTAACTTGAACAAGATCATTGACATCAACTACTACCCTGTTCCTGAGGCCAAGAAGAGCAACTTCCGCCACCGTCCCATCGCTCTTGGTGTCAACGGTCTGGCCGATGCTTTCCTCGCGTTGCGTCTGCCTTTTGACTCGGCTGAGGCTAGACAGCTCAACATTCAGATCTTTGAGACCATCTACCACGGTGCTTTGACCGCCTCCTCTGAGTTGGCTAAGCAGCACGGTCCCTACGAGACTTACGAGGGCTCTCCCGTCTCTCAGGGTATCCTCCAGTACGACATGTGGGACCGCACTCCCACTGATTTGTGGGACTGGGACGCTCTCAAGGCCAAGATTGCGCAGACTGGTGTTCGCAACAGTTTGCTGGTTGCCCCCATGCCTACTGCTAGCACTAGTCAGATCCTGGGCTTCAACGAGTGCTTCGAGCCCTACACCTCGAACATCTACTCTCGTCGTGTCCTGGCGGGTGAGTTCCAGGTGGTCAACCCTTGGTTGCTCAAGGATTTGGTTGACCTCGGTCTGTGGTCCGACAACATGAAGAACCGCATCATCGCCGACGGCGGCTCCGTCCAGAACATCCCCAACATTCCCGCCGATATCAAGGCTCTCTACAAGACTGTTTGGGAGATCTCTCAGCGCAACATCTTGCAGATGGCTGCTGACCGTGGTGCCTTCATTGACCAATCCCAATCCCTCAACATCCACTTGAAGGAGCCCACCATGGGCAAGATCACCAGCATGCACTTCGCTGGCTGGAAGATGGGTCTCAAGACTGGTATGTACTACCTGCGGACAATGGCGGCCTCGGCCCCCATCCAGTTCACGGTGGACCAGGAACAGCTCAAGGTTGAGGACACCAACGTTGCTCGTGCCAACTCCTCTTTCAAGAAGCGTGCCACCGGTGCTGCCTCCTCCACTTACTCTGCCGTGCCTCGCGGTCAGAGCCAGATCAATGGGCACAGCGAGGATGTCAACAACGGTGCTGACAGCCCCCGTGCTCTCGCTGCCGATGCCACTTCCCGTGGCAATGAGGGTGACGCGGAGGGACCTCAGGAAGAGGATTCCGAGAAGACGAGCGAGGAGCGCGAGAATGATATCTACTCCCAAGCGGTGCTTCAGTGCAGCATCGAGAACAAGGAGGCCTGCATCATGTGCCAGGGTTAAGGAAACAAACGATGAAGATTATAATGCGGTTGGCGTCTTGCTTTGGGAAATTTGTGTGTAATTATATTACGGGTTTGATGGATATGGATTTTCTTTTCTGATTACCTGCTGGGCTTTCAAATGTATTCACGGACTTTGTGATTTTCTTTTCTTGTTTGACATTGACATTGATGGCTTATGGCGATGATCTTGATATACATAGATAACAATTTATTTTCTTCTTCTCAAATTTCTACTCTCTATCTACGGTGTCTTGCATATTCACATTGGCTTCTCCATTACATTACTTATATCTTGGTCTCTGGATGATGTAACAACGAGACCCAAATTAGCCCGACATCAAGTGAATTGACTTGAGTTCACCACACCTACTCATCCGCCTTGGGCTCGCTCCACCTCAGACATTCGATCCTTCGCAGTGTCCTGAGTCCGGCCCATCATGTTGCCCGCCCGGTTCAGCATATCATTGGCCTTACCCCTGGTCTGGTCCATATAGCTTGATTATTCCCATGGCCGCTTATCATGTCCCGAGCTTAGTCCATATAGCTCTGGTTGTTGCTGTTGCTGTTGCTGTTGTTCATCATGGAGGATCCTTGACCTAGATAGATTCCCGCGACCATCAGCTTGAAACTGCTTTTCCTGGCAGCACTGGGTGGGTGACTATGCCGACTTATGGATCCGAAGATTTCTGGACTGGACTGGACTGAAAGCAGCATCCGGGGCCACTTGACGTACCTACCACTGTTGCCATGCATGTTCCGATCCCCAGGCCTCGGTCGCCTGGTTCTTGGCGTATTCCAGGTTCTCGGTGATTCGGTCCCATTTCACTCTCGGAGAATTGGGGCTGAGATATTTGGGGTGGTTGAAAAGTTTCCAGAGATCTGTTTGTTGTGAGGTTGGTCGAGAGCGAGGAGAAGAAGACTGGGAGCGAGCGATTTGATGTCTCGGATAAGAAGCGAGACCCATCAACTCTGAATATATAGGCGATGATAGCTGAGCAGCTGGTCGAAACCCAAAAAGAAAAGAGAAGCTCTAGCTCCTGATGTATGCCTCCGAAAGCAGCAGAGGAGAGGGGCCGAGATGAATGATCATAGACCGATCGTTGCGGGGGAACAATCTAGACAGCTGCTGTACAGTAGCTAGCTGCATATGACGTCCCGCGGATGGAAAGGAATTGGGTTGCTGGAGGGAAGCTTTGGTAGAAGCTTATTTTAGTGGAATTGGTCGAAGCTTGATTGTGGTCATACATCCGTGATATGTACAGTACTGGCTGTCTGCGGAAGTGCGGATATCTCTGGCGGAGATAGAACCATGGTTGGTGGTTGGTCCGGGGGGATTCTGGTGTCATTTAGGGCGGGTTGACATGGTCGACTTTTGTGTGGGGTAAGAATTATGAATGAATAAATAAATAAAATGAATTGAACTCGAGATGGATTGAAATCATTGGATTGGCTCTACTGGTAAGGACAATTGATCAATGGAGTAGAGAGGGATCCCGGAGGTTTATAGTAGATGTTGTAGGTATATCATTGATGTTGCGGCGGGGACCTCGCTTATAAGGGTAACGGCAGGGAGGAAGGAATGGATCAATGTATCTTCCTAGAGACTTATTAGAGACTTCCCAGATGTGATATCTGCGCATAATAGTGGGAATATCAGTCCCTCTCCGGTGCTTGGCTATCAAAGCGACGTTCCCGAGGATTACTTGCATGTACATACGGTGTTCATACCGTGTATTCGGACATCTCCAAGTTCTACCTTTGCATCTGGAACAGCCACGAGAATGGCATATACAGCAATGCAAGTATACAGACATACTTGACTACTCGGTCCAGCACCAGCGCATAGACAATCCCCTCCGACACCGGGTAATTCACCTGGGTACTGAATGCGCTGGCTCGATTCTCCCGGATGACCAGCCGGCCCATCGACTGCCACCGATCCTCTCCTACCGGGCCATTGATCTGCAAAGCTTGCATCTGCGCCAGGTTATTCTCGATCACTCGCTCCTTTTTCTCATAGGCATCCGTGGACTCGGTCGCCCGTTCCGCACCGCCAGCTTCCTTTCTCCCTGTCGCTCGTTGTCAGCATTCGCAACACCAAACAAAAACACCATTCTTCCAAACCCACCGGAGATCGAATGATCATCAACCAGTGCGGCAATCCTCAGCCCCCGACCTTCCCCCAGTACCTGCTGAATGTGACTATCGATCTGATGGACCACCTCCGCATGCGCCACCATGTCCTGGCCACTGGAATGCTGGATGTTGGCTACCGCCGCCTGGATCACCACCAGTAGATCGAGCCTGGACCGGGTGATATGGCCCACGAGCCGCTGCGCCAGGTTCTCCATCGTTGCCAGCTGCGGGGAGATATCCGCGATACTCAGGTCGTCGGGCTTGCTATGACTGGGTTGTGCTATGTTCCCGGGCTGTCGGCGAGCTTCATGGTCGTAGTAATTCCGCAGGGGACAGGCGTGCTCCTTCTGGGACTTGAAGACGTCGTGTATCTGCTCAATGATGCTGCTCGAGGTCTCGAGGAGGGTCAAGATCGCTGCTGCGACTTCGAGCCCGGACTGCGGCACTTTTTGCTTGCCTTTAGCGGCGATGTGCTGGGATTGGGGGTTCTGCGGCAGGGGGCAAGGCAATCACCATTGTTTCCATCTCAATCGCAAGTCCCACTTTCGATCAAAGGAGCGTGAGATCATATGCGTGTCTCTGTATCGTCGCGGTGAGTGGATACCCGGGATGGAAGGGGATCTATGTATATCATTTACCACGGCAGTGCGGCGTGCGACCTGATCCTACATATAGCTCAGCTGGAGACCGCACCTTCTAACACATATTCGACTACACTGGCAACGTAATAGCATTTCCGCGCAGACAGTTCTCTTCATTGGCATATGGAGTTATGTGCTAGTACGGAGACGGGCGCTTAAAAGAGCATGAGTCCGTGCTACCTAATAGTCCAGTGCTCTAATATAACCTGGGCGCTTCGACGCAAAAACAACCAAGCTACAGAACCCCCGCGCATCACGCTAGCTTACGACAGCATTGTCTCTTTGAATAACCAATTAACATATCAGACTTCGTGTCAATGATCTGAGCCTGGCCCACGTGTATTCGGTTGCAAACGCGAATGTATCCCGCCATGGTTTAACTGGAGAAGAGTGGACGGCCAGAGAAACCTACTAAGAATGCTTAGCTTCAGCGGAGCCAGAAAAAGTGGTGCGCATCTAGTCGGTATTGTGGCAGAAAGAAACTCATCTCAAAGGCCGTACTGAGATCTCAGGTGCAGCTGATCAGTCGCCCACCACCTCAATTCTCCGTTCTTGACTTGGATACTTTGAACACTCCGCTTTCGTATGGCCTTCTACCCCGGAGCTGGGAATTGCGACTTGCTACTCACAATCCGAATATACCCCCCCACCCCCCCCCATTCATATTTCGGCAACCATAACCCAATTTTACGCTCTCGCGCACATCTAGACTATGTAACTGGGTAGTATATATGCGGCACAAACATAGCATGTCGCAGTTTCCTTGAAAGCTGCAATTTCTACTACAAACCTCGGAGCCAACAAAAGAAAGACAACATGAAGTACGTCAACAATCAAAAGAAAGTACTCTGCATCAACACTGCCACTTCCTGCGTTGGGCAAGGATCCATCCGTAGGAGGGCCCTCACCAAGCCCCAACGTTGGTATCATCCCGCAAGCGAGATCCTCACGGGGGGCCAACTTTCACAATTCCATCCCACTAACCTTGGCCTGCCATGGAATGGGCCGGGCCGTGGTCCACCGAGGTGTTCGTTTCCCATTGAAAGGGTGCGAAAATCGAGCGTGATGCCTGTGTAGCCCTTCTCCTCTAGTGCTGGGTGAAACAATGCTGATGGCATCCAATGGGGATATTTGAATCATCCCGTCTCTCGGTTGGATGGATATCCCTGGTTGTCAGATGGAAACATAACTCACATCAGACAACAGCTCTGGGTTCATCAGCACCTAAGCTAACTTCCTCTAAGTCCCCGGATCCGATGCTGAGACAGCTGTTGGTCATACGTGCGCAGGTACGGGCTTGTGGGCAGCAGCTGCTGAAAGGATAGCTTAAGGATTCAGCGGGTTTTCCCGCTTGGTGGTGGACAGACCAGCCAACAGCTATTGCTCTGGTCCATGTGTTGGCACTAGGCTGTTCAGGAGCTCCTTCGAAGCTGTCCAAGTTGGGTGAGGGATCGAGATCGAAATGATGAAAAGGAGCTAAGCTCATCCCTCAGGACGAGATGGTCAGGTACCATCTAACCCAATTCCTGGAGGTATGAGAAAGGGAGGGGGTCGGTTGTAGCATCTTGTGGGGGCTAGTCGTTTGAGCTCCCGTTTGAGCGGTGTTGGATGGATGAATAATGATGATGATGGCGATGAAGCGGATGTACAGTGGCATACTGTACAGTACCTACGCACATAACACAGAAGCGAGGTACCCCATACTTTTACTGCAAACAGGGCTACGCTGTCGTTCAGGGACAAAGAAACCTGACCGGATGATCCCACGATCCCAAGAAAATCGCCCCGCCCTAAGCGAGGAGACCGCCCGCCGGGCAGATGGACAGACAGCCGGGGAATGCGGAAGAGGTTGACCATGCTGCAGTTTCACCGTCTCTCGGGTCGGAGGAATTGTGCGGTGTGAATGACTACCGGGGGTGAATCGATAGAATATGCTCCGATGGGGTGGGGGAGGGAGGAGGGATGGTGTGAGGGGGCGCCTAGAATGCTCTGCAGATGCGATACATGTCATGGGCGGAGGCAGGCTTGATGTCACTGTGCAGGTTTCTGGATTGTTGACTCTCAATTGATCGGTAGGATCGGATAGATATGTACTGTACATTGTAGACACTGTAGAGTAGCTGTAGGATTCATACCTACTGAGTATGTACAGTAGATAACTACTAGGTAAGAATGCAATGGTTGACTAAGGATATTGACCGGTCGGGATCAGAGATCAATCAGGGATCAGGGTCTGGACCGAGCGCTGGGTGTTTGTGTGTGTTCAACCCGTTGACTCCATCAGCCCATGTGGCGTCTCAGAACTCCATTGCCAAGTTTCGTATTCCCACACACACACAAACACACAAACAATGGACTACCCACTGAACATGAAAGAATTAAAAGGATTCCCCTCAATGGATGATTACATCAACACTTTCCTTGTTCACCGGTCTAGATCGGCTGAATCTGGCAAGATTCAACAGAAAGGCGACTGCATCCCCTCCAATCGGCCTTGCTGGAAGGCCCGACACAACAGAAAATCTTCGTAGTGGGGCAGAGACGAGGGCGAAAAAGCACTCAGAAGAGGGGAAGATGCAAGCCCTGGACAGATGAAATCATGAAAGTCCCCCCTCCGAGAAGAGGGGAAAGCATCCGCAATTGGACTCATCTAGCCGCCTTAGTGGTCGCGTTGCCCGCCCTCACTGGCTGCGCGCTGCGATGGAGTCCCCAAGACTCGGAGGGTCGCGGACACGTCGACACCGCACGGTCGACTCCTCCATAGGCTACGTTCCTGAGATGGTGAAATCTACCAGGATCCATCCATGGTGTTTTCGCCACCAAGTGGGAGGAGGAGGAAGAGGAGGAAGAGAAAAAAGTTTAGTTGTGAAAGACAGGATTTGAAAGAGGTCGATTGAAGAGGGTGTCTCAAATGATACGTTCGGGGGACGATGTGTCGGACGAATGTTTGTTCTTTTCTTTTCTTAGATGTTTTTTTTATTTTTATTTCATGTTTAATTTTTTTTTTTTTTCTCTTTGAAGTCTTTTGACTGAGGCTCACCCAAATAATTTGTGCATGCCGTCCCGTCAGGCACCGTTTCTAGTCAATCGGATGTGGCTTGTGGCTGAGTGGGATTTATTGGTCTTGGACTCTTGGTAATGAGAAGGGGAAAGGGAGGGAGGGAATGAACTCAAGGGGGAGCCATCACAATAAAATGATCAAAATGGCCGATCGATGCCGCCCTGGGCCTCGGACGGGCCCTGGTGCCTGCAGAGAAGAAGAAAGAAGACGAAGAATACGGGCCAGGTACAAGCCACAGCACCGGAAAGTCAATGGAGACCTAACAAATGCGGCGACCAGTCAGCACACTTAGTCGCCCTCCAAACCCGCTTGGCTGAGACACCGGCGCCAATCGAGGGTCCGCCAATCAGTCGATCAGTCGGCATTCAGGAACGCGCTGAATGACTGTACAGTTCATGTCGTTCTTATTTCCTCCTAAAAGGTCCAATACGAGGCGTAGCCATCGGGAAAACACATGCTGATGAGGTGGCAGACGAGGAGTTATTGGTAGACGGGGAAGAGGGGGGAAAAGAGGGGAAGAGTGAATAGTAGATCCCCTAGGAGAGACGGTGAGGAGAAGTGGGTAAAGGCATGGAGAGTAAGACCGACCGACCGACCGACCGACAGACAGACGGAGTACGAGTACAGTATTCCGGACTGTACTGAGTGGTAGGACAGTTCCTGAATCCTGAGGTACCGTTCAGTACCTGAGGACGAGGGGGAGGTTCCGCAGTTACCAGAAGTGTGGGTTTGACTTTTGACTGGTTCCGTGCCTGACCAGTTGATCGGGGCGTTCACGAGCTGGGCTGCTGCAGTGGGTCTCCGTCCAGCCTGCGGGGGCCTGAACTCGGGCCAATCCTTTCTGTTGGTTGGTGGTTTGACTGGGGTTGTCTCTGCCAGGGACAACGCTTGTTATGGATGATTGGCAGTACACTCAGGGCTCTCTCCCTCAAAGGTGAACTCACCTGGGTTAGCTCCTTTTTTCCCCCTTCACATTTTATACTTTTCACTATGACGAGTACGTATAATGTTCACTCTTATAATTTCAATTCAATAAATAAAATCTTTTTTTTTCAAAAAAAAAATGGTTTAAAGTAAAAAATCGTTTTATTGTAGCCGAACACTAGTGCACTAACACCAGTCCGATTTCCTTAGATGGTCCCGGCCCTGACTGTCAGTCCCTCCTCCGTCCCCCTCCATCCATACTTTATAAAGGGCTGCCCCTCTCGGTCTCTCCTCTCCTTCATTTCTCGCTCCTCAACCAGCAGCGTCTGTCGTTCCTTCTTTCACACCCACACTCCCTTGGGTTCGCTTTGCTATCGTACTGCAGTGCAGTCAGTCAGTCAGTCCTTATCTTCGAGATCCTCCAATTCCTCTGTCGACCAGAGTCAGCCAGTCCTTCGTCTAGATAGACATCCCCTCAAGCAAGCAACCAAGCAAGCAACCCGCTTTCTAGACTCAAAAAAAAATCAACCAGATACCCCTCGTCAAACTCCACGAATCAAAAAGCAATGGCTCCCATCACCAAGTCTCTTGCCCTGGTTGGCTCCCTGCTTGCGGCTTTCGCCTCGGCCGCCCCCGTCGACAAGCGCGACCAGGTTGTTGAGATCGAGACCGTCACCTCTGTTGTCTGGACCACTGTCGACGTGACCACCACCGTCACTGTCGAGCCTACTGCCACCAACGACGCTGTGAACAAGGTCGCCGATTACACCCAGGCGCACCACAGCTCTCACCACAGCTCCCACACTACTTCCACGACTGCTGGATGGGAACAGCCCGTCTGGACCGCCCCCGCCGTGCCCTCTTTCACCTGGACCCCCGAGGTTCCGCAGTGGACCACCAGCGTTGCTACTTCGACCACTGAGCAGTGGCACGCCACCACCACTTCCTCCACCACTTCCACGACCTCGGCCTGGACCACCACCACCACCTCTTCTTCTACTTCCACCTCCACCACCGCTGCTGCTGCTGCCGCTACCACCAGCGCTAGCTCCTCCAGCTCCGGCTCCAGCTCCTCCGGCGTCTGCTCCGAGTCCTCGCCCTGCAGTGGAGACATCACCTACTACGAGGTCGGTCTGGGATCCTGCGGTGAGACCAACACCGACAGCGAGCACGTCCTGGCCCTGTCCCACACCATCATGCAGAAGAGCTACTGTGGCAAGACGGTGACCATCAACTACGGCGGCAAGACCGCCACCGGTACCATCGTCGACACCTGCATGGGTTGTGCCGAGGGTTCCATCGATCTGTCCTCGTCGCTGTTCCTCGAGTTGGCCGAACTGGGTGCCGGCCGTGTCAGCGGTGTTGACTGGTACATCCAGTAGATGTGTGAAGAGAAGGAAATGTGATTTACGGATAGAATGATTACCCTGCTACCATTTTTTTTTTTTCGTGTGCATATCTTTTTTCTTTAGATATCTGGGAGATTGGAACGAACCCGTCGCGGCGCGATGGCCTGAATAGATTGCATTCTTTCTTCATCCTGTCTTTGATTCAAGTAAAGCGAGTAACTGGGAAAAGTGGGTGGTCGGTCCTCCTTCATCGGGGAATCGACTCGTAGCAAACTCGGCAAGTCAACGGCAAGCACTGCACCCAATACGTACTCCACTACTCACTCTACCATGCCCCTCCCACCGTGTGTAGTAGTCTACCTTGCACGATTACAACAACTTTCAGTACCTACTCCATCATCCACCGCCCCACCCAGGCAACGCCATCCCCATGACCGCGCGTGGTGAGAAAACTCCCCGGATAGCCCTCCCCTCCCACTCCTCGCCCTCGCAGTTGTCCGGCCGACCCCTCATGTAGCAGATTTCCCGCCTCCGACACATACCCCGTGACACGGCTTCACCCAGCTGCAGCGCGTGCGTCGCGCCCACCACTCCTCGAACAGCGTCTCATTCCCGGCCATGCGCACCGTCAGCTCATCCCAGAACGCCGGGGAGAGCCCGTCCTCCTCCGTGTCGGTACCGTAGGCCTCGCGCGCCGAGTAGTACTTCTTCCATGTCAGCTTTGCTCCGCCTTGGGCTGGGTGGTGATGTCCATCAGCATCGTTATCATCGACATCGTGACCATGAAACAGTCCGGCAGACGAGGCAGCCCCTGCCCCCTAGGGTTCGCAGTCACGTAGACCGTATGATCCACGACCTCCCAGGTAGCGGGATCGACGACGTAGAGCCGGAAGGCCGGACGGCCGCGCTCGGAGGTGAGGCTGGGGGTGATGTTGTATTTGATGGCTACGGCCCCGCGGCTGGCATTGCTGCTGCAGTTTGAGGCGTTATTGGGGCTAAGGTAACGGTAGTACACCTGGAAGAGATCCAGATGGCGGTGTCCGGAGAAGATGGCGGCGATGGTGGCGCGGAAGCGCTCGATGGTCTGATTCAGGGCGCGGGCGTAGCAGGGCAGCATGTGGGAGTTGCCCGGGGGCACGTGCGTGAGGAGCCAGACGCGCTGGTGGTGGCGTTCGGCCTGGTGGAGCTCGGTGGTGAGCCATGCGAATTGGGAGAGGGGGTCCGGGGGGGGGGTTGGGGAGGGTCGTGTAGCTGAGGATGTTGAGGCGGTAGTAGAGGAGGCTGCTGAGGGAGATTATCTTGAGAGGTGGGACGTTTGGGGGGTTTTGGTTTGGTGGGGGTGCTGGTGCAGGATGCTGTAGTTGCCGTGGTTCTTGGGTTGGGGGATTGGTGATGGTAGGCTCGGTTGGAGGGAGAGGCGGTTCGACCAGTAGGCGAAGAGGTCGTAGGCCCATTGCGGCGTCAGACTCGAGAATGGCGTGGAAGGGACTGGGTAGATGTTGATCGGGAAGGTGTCGTGGTTGCCGATGGCCAGATAGACGGGTCCCTAGCGGGTGAGGGTCTGCAGGGCTGTATACGTGGTGTTGTAGTCGGCTTCATCGGGCGCGCGACTGGTGAGCCAGAAATCGTGGGGGACGACGTCTCCGGTGGATAAGGCGAAGGCAAGCGGAGGCTGAAGGCCCTGCAGGACGGACAATAGACTGTCAGTTAGGAGGCGAATGGGAGGATCGCACCGAGGATTGCCCCAGTCACTGCAGGGGAAGAGCGTGCTGTTGGGCGCATCATCCGCTGTAAAAGGCTGGCAGCACATGGGTTTCGAGCAGACATAGCTGGCTCCCGCCGTGTAGAAGCGGTCAACGTGCGTGTCGCTGAAATGGGCCACGCGAATGGTTCGATTTTTGCCATCCCTTATATTATTGTTGACGCTCCTCGTGATGGGCTGGTTCGGCGGCTCGGGTGGTAGAGTCAGATTGAAATCGATCTCAGGCCACGGACACAAGCGACCCAAGCTGGCGCACATCAACCGACTGGTCACGGATTCAATCTGTAGCTGTTCGGGGATGTGAAAGACGCTGGGCGCTTGGGCGGCCGCGGTGCCCTGGCACACATCGGCATCGGCAATCTGGACTCGGCGATTTAGAGTGACAACGAGACAAAGACATGATCGATCTGCCTTGGCCTGCGTGCGCACCTCCTCCAAGACTGCTCTCAGAACATCCGGGCCCCGACGCGCCACGGCCTTCAATGTGCCTAACAGGATCTGCAACCAATATCAATCCATGGCCAGTCAATCATCTCGGCTAGCGTTCCGCTCACCTCGCAGGTTGCACACGTCACAGCCTGCTGCAGCTCCCCCCAGACTCGGTCAACCCAGCAATCGTGATCCTGACAGACAGCTAGATCCGTCAGTAGGGTCCCAAGGATTATCGCAGTGTTAATAGTGAAGAGAGGGCCGAGCCGTTATCTAAAAAGGGAGATTGAAGACCCATGATCGGTTCTTTATACAAGAGTTGCTTCTGCAGGAGTGTTCATATGCCCCGAGCTTGGGCTCGAAATGGCTGATATAACCCATAATAGAGGCTATGGGACCATGTGATAGCAACAAGACCACCGAAGCGGAAGATCCTGGTTGATGAGGAGAGCACTAGCAGTGGTGGTCATGTTAGGGCTGTAGATGTTGTCAACTTGTCATCCGATGGCAGCAAAGATTGCGGGGGATAAAAGACCTCGCTAAACAAATCAAGCAATGGCCCCCATTAACAATAGTACTGATGTAGTATAGTGCACAAATAAATCTGGAGACCAAATGAGGATCCCCATGCAGACAATCTATCACACCGTACTATTAAACATTAAAGAGCCGATCGCCCAGGAACAAATTCCTACTGCGGATAATGATAACGGGTCCGTCTATGTAAGAGATGCCACGCGAGGGGGTGAAGAAAAATAACATAACCGCTACGTACGTCGTTTTCTCTCCTTCTTCTCTCATCCTTCCTATTTTCTACTGTCCATCCCTCCATCAATTGTTGGTCTTGCTACTCTGTAGTGAAATAACTCCTTTTACTTGAGAGAGTGACTGTCGATCAATATTCAGTGCGATTGCTTTAGCTTACTTAATTTGCCCTATTTTTTCATTTTTTTCTCTTCCGTCTTTTAAATTAAATTGTCGAGTAAGCCTTCCAAGTTCTACTTCCCATCTTTCCCACTTGCGAGTTGAGTGGTTGGAACTTGGAGGTTCCATCCTTTTTCCCTCTTTTTCCCTCTTTTTCCCTCTTTTTCCCTCTCGTCTATTTTCCTCTTTCCTGCGTTGCCTGCTTTTCCTGCTTACTTGCTTTCCTGCCTTCTTTCTCTCTCCAACTCTTTCTTCTCTTCCTTTTCTCCGCTTCATCCCCTCAACCTTATTCTTATTTCCTCTTTTCTCTTTTCCTTCTCCTTTTACCACCCACACTCTCTTTTCAACTGCTATTTCAGCTATTTCCCCCCAGTCTTACATCTACTAGTCTTGCTATATTATATGTACAGAGCTATCTGCCTCCATGCCGTGAATCCGTCGAGCGAAGTCAATCATGGGCCTGCCTCCCTCCCCTCCTCCTTCTTCTCCTCCTCCCCGCCTCTAACCGACCCTTCCGCTCCCTCCGAGTTCGCCCTCCTCCGCTCTCCCCCTCTTCTCTCTCCGTGATGGAAGACCAACGACCGACTGTTTTAACCGTCTCAATTGTCTTTTTTATTGTCGCCACGGTTTTTGTTGCCTTGCGCTTCGTCTCTCGTCTTTTTATAGTTCGCAAAATTGCCCTGCATGACTATTTTATGCTTCTGGCCTGGGTATATCTATCCACCATATCAATTGTCTCCATACTGGGCGATAAGCGAACTGACCATACTCCCGAACAACCTCCAGTTCCTTGATTTCGGCTTCTCCTTCTCCCTCTTCTATGCTACCCACCAGGGCCTCGGACTTCACGATGTCAATATTCGCCCCGAGCAACGGCCCGGCCTCAATCGCGCCGATTACGCCTTTACCGTCCTTTACGTGAGTCCTCCGCTCCGCTTCTGCTCTCTGCGCTCTTCTCACGGACGACTCAGAACCCTACCTTGATGGCCATCAAAACTTCCATCCTTGTTTTCTACCTGACCCTTACACAAGGCGAAAAGATCTTCCGCTGGGCCACCTACGTCACCCTCTTCGTCGTCAATGCCGCTGGCCTGGCCCTCACCCTTGTCAACGTCTTCCAGTGTCGTCCAGTCAGTGCTGCTGTCGCATACCCCTTGCCCGACGGCGCCAAGTGCATTGACATCCTCACCCTCTATCTATCCTCCTCCCCAGTCAACATCATTACCGACCTGGCCATCCTCTGCCTACCGAATCCCATTCTCACGCGTATGCGCCTGCCGCGCAAGCAGAAAATCATTATTGTCATCACATTCAGTTTTGGATTTTTTGTCGCCGTAGTTGATGTCATTCGGATCGCTTACATTCAAGATGCTGCGACTTCCCGTCAGATCGCCCTCAAAGAAGTTCACCTTCAGGGTACCCCCGGCGACGATTTGAGCTGTTAGTCAACTGTGCCCCATTGTTGCATCTTCGTCTACCTCTAACTTCAAGCTTAAGGGTACGCGGCATTCTCCTTCATGTGGTCCGTCATCGAAGTCAATGTGTCCATTATATGCGCCTGCGTTCCTAGCCTCAAGCCGCTCGTCGCCAGATTGCTTCCCAAGCTCATTCGCGACACCGACGAAAATTATCAGGCCTCTTCGCCTGGCACCCAACCGCTACAGGCGCTGGCGCCCATTGCAGTCGGGGACTCCGTGCCTCGACCTGCCCCGTCAAATGGAACCCCAAACCCCAAACCCACCCAGTCGGAGAGTCGGAGCAGTCAGGCTGGCAGCGACGCACGCGTCGATCTGACGGAGTTTCTGGCCGCCCCGCGGCCCCAATCAGGCGTGGAAGCGACCGACGTGGAGCAGCGCACGAACACAGTGACCAATTCCTCCTATCCGCCCAGTATCACCTTCTTCGACTTCGTCAATATGAAACAGCCCGCGAACATGCTCAAGCTGAGCAACAAGGAGTCCATCACACCGATCGCGTTTACCACTGTTTTGTTCTTCCTCTGGGGCTTTGCTTACGGATTGCTCGACATGCTGAATGAGCAATTCAAGAAAATTCTACATCTCGGTGTATATCGGTCATACGGCTTGCACGCGACCTACTACGGTGGGTATCTGTTGGGCCCACCGCTTGTGGGCCGTCCGGTGCTCAAACATTGGGGCTTCAAGGCTTCATTCATAACGGGCCTCTGCATCTACGCATGCGGCTCCCTCATCTTCTGGCCCTCCGCTGTGTTGACTTCTTATTCAGCGTTCGCTGTGTCCAACTTTATTGTCGGGTTCGGCTTGGCCGTGCTTGAGACAGCCGGCAACCCGTTCATTGCTCTATGCGGTCCGCTCGAAAACTCCGAGATTCGTCTGAACATCTCACAGGGTGTCCAGGCTGTTGGCAGTGTTGTTTCGCAGCTTCTGGCGAAAAAGGTTCTGTTTAAAAAGGTTACTGATGTATCCTCCTTGGTAGACGTCCAGTGGACCTACCTTGGCATCGCTCTATTCGACGTGATCCTGGCACTCGTCTTCTACTACCTGCCTGTTCCGGAGGCTTCCGATGCTGATTTGGAAGAGCTGGCAAATCGTCGGCGATCCGACAATCGTGCTCGCGTGGCGGGGTTGCCGGTGGTTTGGGTCACACTGGGCCTGGGTATATGGTCCGTGTTCATGTATGTCGCGGGCCAAGAAGTCTTGTCCATGAGCTTCGCGCGTTTTGTCGAGGAGGTCCATCCAAAGTAAGTTTCCTATCCTGATCTCCTTTTGCTCATCTCACTAAAGCGGGTACAGCGCTTCCTTAAGCCCCTTCGAATTCTTGACCATTGGGCACACAGTCTTTGCAGTAGGGCGTTTTCTAGCCGCTCTTCTGCAATGGTTTCTGAAGCCTCGCTGGATTCTGCTGTTGTCCTACATTGGCATGATTGTGTGCGCCGCGCTGTGCATGCATACCACCGGCCTCACGGCGGTGACAATGGCGGAGCTTGTATATCTGTTCGAAAGCGGTGCCTTTAGTATCAGTTTTGCCATTGCTTTGCGGGGCACGGGACGGCATACCAAGACAGCCGGCTGTTTGCTGACGATGGCCATCGGAGGGGGCGGTATCTTCCCGTTTGCGCAGTACGCAGCGCAACTGGTAGGCGGCGTACCCTACTCGTATAGCGTTCTCGTGGCGGTCTCCGCCGCGGGCGCCATATTCCCAATATACTTGAACCTCGTACCGGCAGCCAAGAAGCAGGTGGATCCGGTGCCCAACGAACATCTGCGACATCCTCGCCGCCGTAGCCGCGGCGTGCCGCGTGCCAAGGACAATCCGTCTGTGGGTGGAGTGCTGTCGCGACGGCGCAGTGTGCTCTTGGATCCGCTACCGACCGTGCAACTGACGGAGTGATTGACTTTTGTGTTTTCTCCCCTTGGGGTTATGCCTTGTGATACCCATACATTGTTTAATATTTTGTTTTATCCCGGACTTAGCATGGCGTCAGGTTGCATTAGCATTTGGAATGACAAATCGACAGCGTCGCACCGTGGCAGCGTTGACATCAGTTGAAGCGTCATTTGAGTCGCTCGCCACAGCATATAGTTAGACTTCGGAAGACAATTGTCGACGATTATGTACAGAGAAGCAGGGCTACGAATCAAAGTACCCTGATAGAGTCGAACAGTCTATACATATAGAGCTCGAAGACTGAGCATATTGTTTACTGTAATAGTGTCCCCATCTGTCTCATGCCGCTCGACCTCATGGTACAATAAGCTTTCAAGTCAACAGTTTTGAGCTAAGACGTACAGTCAGGTACGGACAACCCCGGGTGGGTCTGTCAATGTCTGTGCCTGTGGCTAATCCAGGCAGTGACTGTGCGGGAACCTCAGTCGTAAATGCCACGGCACTTCGATAACTCTTGAGGTGAGGTACCCGTACTTGAATTTGTAACTACCTTATGGTAACGTCCCGTCATGTACCACCTGTAACTTACAGTGATACCATACCCCGTTCCACCCTGTCTCCAAAGCAGTAACCTAGTTAACTTATTAAGTACTAGGTAAGGTGCAACGTATTATCCTCCCGGGGTTCCGGGAGCCAGTTCCAAGCAGATTCGAGGCGCCCAACAATAATGCAGTCAGTGAAAGAGCCCGATGCATGTTTGGAATACAACGAGAGCTCGTATCTACGTCCATAATATCTATCTATGTGACGGTTTTGACTCTGCTTGGTGAAATTTGCAGATGTAGTATGTTCGTGGTGGGTATCAAGATGGAAATATCATCTTCTGCATCTGCGTACTGAACACTACTCAAGTGGTGGGGACGCGTGAATCTGTACGGAGTAAGATGTCTGGGTGTCTGGATTCCTTGATCATTCCAGAGATGAATAGTTGACAAGGAGGACAGATGAATGGAAGGACCTCCTACCGGCCTGAGGAGGAAGGCGGAAAGCCCTCCGAGTGCTAGGCGTACCTCGTCAGTAAGTTAGATTGTTCTTGTCAGCATTGTTCCAAGCCAAGACCCGATCGAAAGCTTATTACAGTAATGTGGGACTATCATCAAAGATCTATGTTGCGACGGGCTTACATGAGTCTCCATGAGTCTCCATGGAACTAGATGCGAGGACTAGCGATTACGCATAGCAATGACCATTGATTTGACATTCATGATTCATGATTGTGAAAAAGGTATAGTAAATATGTACTATGAAGTAAAGCAACCGGCGCCTCTATCCATGCGCTGAAACAAAACGGGAGAAGAAGAAAAGTCATCATCATAGCACCATCTCACCGACGATGCGAAGCATTTACCACCAGTCACCCTGGTCCTTCATGGCAGCAGCAACCTTGGTGAAACCAGCGATGTTGGAACCGGTGACCAGGGAAGGCAGGACACCCTCAGCAGGGGTGGCGTACTCAATAGCGGTCTCGAGACCGTTCTTGAAGCAGGAGCGCATGATGTCCTTGAGACGGGCATCAACCTCCTCAGAGGTCCAGCTGAGGCGGGCAGAGTTCTGAGCCATCTCGAGACCGGAGACGGCGACACCACCGGCGTTGGCGGCCTTACCGGGGGCGTACCAGATGGCAGCCTTGCCGGCGTTGGCCTGACGGTGGGCCTCGAAGGTGTCGATGGCCTCCTGGGTGCAGCCCATGTTGGAACCCTCAGCGATGAACTTGGCTCCAGCATCGATCAGCGCCTGCGCCTCCTCGCCGGAAACCTCGTTCTGGGTAGCAGAGGGAAGGGCAACGTCGACCTTGCCAACGTGCTTCCAGGGACGAGCACCAGCAATGTACTTGAACTTGGCGGAGTCGGCGAAGACACCCTCGGAAACGATAGAGGCGAGCTGCTTGCGGGCGACCTTGAGGTCGGCAATCAAAGCGATCTCCTCGGGGGTGAAGCTGGAGTCGTTGACAACGATGAGGGAGCCCTGGCTGTCGCTCAGGGAAACAACGGAACCACCGAGCTCAATGACCTTGAGAGCAGCGTACTGGGCGACGTTACCGGAACCAGAGATGGCGACGCGCTTGCCGGAGAAGGACTCAGCGCCGTTGGTGGCGTGCTGGATCATGTGCTCAACGTACTGCGGTGTCCTGTTAGCACACACTCGCCTGTGATGCCAGAAGCAATTGAAGGAAAACATACGTAGACAACACCGTAACCGGTAGCCTCGGGGCGGATCAAGGAACCACCCCAGGTGAGGCCCTTACCAGTGAGGACACCCTCCCACTGGTTGCGGATCTTGCGGTACTGGCCGAAGAGGAAACCGATCTCACGACCAGTGACACCGATATCACCAGCGGGAACATCAGTGTCGGCACCGATGTGCTTGGCGAGCTCAGTCATGAAAGAAACGCAGAAGCGGCGGATCTCGTTGTCGGACTTGCCCTTGGGGTCGAAGTCGGAACCACCCTTACCACCACCCATGCTCAGACCAGTCAAGGCGTTCTTGAAAATCTGCTCGAAACCCAAGAACTTGAGGATGGAGAGGTTGACAGTGGGGTGGAAGCGGAGACCGCCCTTGTAGGGGCCGAGGGCGGAGTTGAACTGGACACGGAAACCGCGGTTGACCTGGACCTGGCCCTGGTCATCCTCCCAGACGACACGGAACTGGATGACGCGCTCGGGGACGGAGACGACAGCCAGAGCCTTGCGGTATTCGGGGTTCTTCTGGAAAAGAGTGGAGTTCTCGAGGGTCGAGGCAAGCTCTGTGAAGGGGGAAATTGTTAGGTACAGTGGAAACAAATTGGTAGCTATTGAGATTGATAAAAGAACATACCCTTGTAGGCCTGCTCGAACTCGGGCTCAACGGGAAGGTTGGACATGGTGAATGAGGGAGGGAGAAAAGTATTTAGTATAGTGTTGTTAAGAAAAGAAGAAGAATGACCCAAAGGATACCCGACAAGACTTTAAAGACCTGGTCTGGGAGAGAGATGGAGGATGGGGATGGGAAGAAAGAAAGAGAAAGAGATGAGGGAGGAGAGAGAATGGGTTTATGTATCTTTCCCATTGCCTCTTTCTCTTCCGGGTTTCCCCCTCCTCTCCCCCCCCTCCTCTTCTGCTTCTACCCCCGACCCCGGACTGGGTTTGTGGTGGCAGTCATGGTAGGTAGCAGTGGATGGTGGGTGCCACTGGGTCGGAGCGGAAGAGGGTTGTCCGGACGGCAAAACGAAAAAAAGAAAAGAAGAAAAAAAAAGAGAAAGAAAACGGGAAAATCAAAGAACACCAAAAAACCACCAAAAAGGTGTACAGTAACAGCCGGAGTCGGACGAAACGTAGGGAAGTCCCCGCCGGAGAGGAAAAGTAGTAAGGCAGTCAACGGCAGCGGGACTAATCACGGCAAAGCAATGCCGGGTGGGCGTCCGAAGTTCGGGGCAGTGTTAGTCGATAGTTTATGGTCACAGAATCTGCGCCCGTTATCTATCGGCGGAAACCCGCCCCTCTCGCCGCTTTCAGTCCTCCCGGGAAATCCTCGTGTGGCAAGGAATCTCTCGGGATGCAAGGCTCTAAGCGAGCTGGATTAAGAGATTTTTTGGATGAAACGTACGTAGTCTACTCCGTACTGCCCTTGGTTTCATTGACTATTGTTCAGTAGTAGTAGTAGTAGTGGTGGTGGACTTCTGGTCTGCTCCCCTTCCCAACCCATCATGTACATCTACTGTTCGATGTGAAATGCATGCCAAGCCTCTCCCTGCAGGCCTATCGACGGCACGTGACCTCGGAATCGATCCCCAGATTCTCAAGTGCAGTGCGCCCCACGTGTGAGCGAAAGTCTTATCTGATTGTTTTACGCGCTATCAATACGGTCATTTCTACGTAGAGTGCGCCCTCTGAAGACTGGAGTATTAGCCTGTCTCAAAACTAGGAAGCACATCGTTGTTGGGTGTTCTCTCCGAAAACAGGATGAATCGTTGACTGTCGGGAGACTCCGGCTTCCCGGTGAGCTGAGCTGAGTAGGGTCGTGGACAGTGGACACAGCGGGGGGGGAAGAAGAGATGGCCGCCGCTGGCTGGTGGTGGTACGGGAAGGCGGGCAAGTACAACTCACGGTTCACCGGGCGATCATACCATCTGTAGCCTTGCTCTGTCCGTCTCACCGGTAAACTGCCCATCGCCTAATCACAATCTGCCTATGAGTAGTACAGACCGCTTCGCCAACTTAAAAGGCAACGCAACAGAATGGCACATCCCTACCTTCTAGGGCACTTGAAAGCCATCGACATCACATTGGTGTAATGTTCATTGTATTGTACTTTACAAATGGTTGATGAAAATTCCAGCCGCCCCAGCAGCAAGGAAACCTTTAGGTTGCGGCTGACTGGCTAAACTCACCTGGGGGGCACATGTGATGGCGCCGGGGGAAGTTCAAGGTTACCAATTCCAATCGAGTTACAGTGACTGCGGAGCCAATCAGCATAATCCAAGACCCTTGTCCGTCCTTATCTCGACGGTATCAGAGCCAATGACATGGTGCAATTGTCATAGATAAGTAGCCGAGTTCCGCAACCCGAGAGGGTGGCACTAAGGCTGTCCCGTCTGTGCTCACTGCTCACTCACGGCTCGGATTCGAGGAATGGGAGGGAATCTGCGGTGCAGGCAGGCTTAAACATTGGCAGGTGCTGAAGAAACTTTGGCACTAAACCTCTTTAATCATCCTCCCCCCACTCCCTTCCCTGAGCCGACTCGCCCGAGTACGGCCATCCGAGCGGAATGCGCACGCGGTGTCTTAACTCTAAGTCTCTAACGCCTCTAAGATCACAAGCTACCCGCTAAACTCCCCCCACTAATGCATCCGTCGGTGGTCGGGGTTTGTTGACAGGGATTCTGGCCCGTATTGGTCTTTCCTTGGTTATCTGGGGGAGGCAACTGTCTATGATCCATTTGGTTGTTGGGGAAGATGGGGGGGGGA